CTCGAACTAGATTCCGACGTGAATTTGAATATTCTCAATTTCAGAATTCGCAGTTTCTGCTTGAGCTTCTCCTGTTCGATAGCCCACATGGGATTTCAAGCAGTCAATAACTAATTACCTTCGCCTTGGTGGCCCATGTAGACATGTGAGGTCCAAAAGGAGCTCAGCCCCAGACGCATGGGTCGGATCGCCCCTGCCTGTAGATGTCGGAAAAAGGCAGAAGGAGAGTGAGGCGCTGAACTAAATGACGAGCTTCCCGTAGCGTTGTCACGTTTGTAGATTTCATGCTCAGACGCATGCTTTCGGTTCGCAAGAATTTCCTCCGGCCGGTTCGTTGCTTCTAATGCACTCGCCTATAAATTCACTCGAGGCTCCCTTTCGAGATGGAAAGACAAAAGCTTACTAGTCTCATGTTATCTAAGCAGATGACGCAATCATTGACTCTAGCAAAGATACTCTAGCAGATCGAGTTCAACCTATTGACCTCCGATGCAAGTCAGGGTGCTTACAAGCTGCGCATGGCCATTGCCCAAGCAGAGATAGCAGCTGTCCAGGTTGGCAAATATTGCTCCCTCTTCTCTGGATTTCTCTGTGTCAATGTGTCAATCTGCGAAACAAATCGATTACTGCGTCACGAGGGATGATAGCTGTGGCCGACTTGTCCGCACGAATTACGCGGGCAGAAAGCTTCCTCCTGACTTAATGCAGAGCTTCAGCACATACCATAGTTTATACGCCAAGAACATCAACTCTACTATAGCTCCATGATTAAGCCAACAGTTCCACTAAATCTAGGGATGAAAGGGGACGGGGTGGCATTCTTACATAGAAAGCTCTAGATTTTACTATTGGTTTGATGCGATTGTCCCTTGAACGTTTTTTGCCACACGTTATCCCTAATTTTGAAGATCTCTATCGAAGTGTCATACGGAGTTTCCCATGGAAGGTATAGAAAAAATGTTTTAATAAATTGTACGCTGTGAGACCCACGACAGTTTTCGGACCTTTGCTTCAATATACCATCACTGATCTAGAAGAATAATTTATCCACCATATTTTTAGAAGTTTTGAACTTTTGTTACAATACATTGTTACAAATTAAGTCATTTTAAGGAGCAAACTTGAATTATAACTCGCCCATCCTGAAACGCACTTTTGGTGGAGTGGTTCTGCTATTGGTGATTCCTCAAAATCGGGCATCTTTCCATAGGAGTCCCAATAGAGGCCCTCACCTACAGGAAGGGACTGTCTTCCTGTTCGCCATCGAGATCGTTTAACGAAAAATACTTATGCAACACAACGCCATCCAGCAGAACATTGGGGCCAACGAGGCCCAAGTAGCAGTGGCACCAAGGCAGAGACGATATGGATCAACTGTCAGGGAGGAAATTACTTGATGGGACTATAGTAATACCAATTACTTATTGATACCCATCAAAATTAGTTTTACCCGAAGGGACCTCACGGACGACATATCATCGTCAAGTCTCCTTTACACATATTATGATGACTAGAGTGTGAGGGTTTATAGACTCTGAAAGTTTCAATCTGATCTTCTGAGAAAAGCTGTAACTGAAGGAAATGATATGGAGAACTTTTTTTCGTCAGCTTGGTGACGAAGCTTCGGATCAGATGAAAAAATCACAGAATAAAGACATGAAGACCTAGAGATTGTTCTCTTTATGACATCGAGTACATCTCTCGACTCGATGGATGGGGCATATGGGTGCTGGGCTTAGATGTTAATTAGTCTGGGTTACTCTAATCGAAAGCTCGATCTCACCTCGGATTCAAAGATTCGGGAGCTTGATATTGAACTACCTTTTCTTGCACGAGTATGATTTCTGGGCTGGTTGTGAATCTCGAGTAAGCACGCTCCCATTCGTCAATCATGAAGCCGGTTCTTCCTGAGCGAGCTCCCGTGGTTTTGAGTCCTAGCAGACGCACATTCAGTCTTTTTGAAACTCCCACGTGATCACTTCGAGCAGTAACTGGTTCATCGTGTCCACGGGACCCGGCATGTACCAATGCAAGAGTCCTGAGATCTACCTTGCTCGTCCCTCTGGGTTTTCTTGTTGGGATCGAGACTCCTGTATGGTCCAGGATGACCATCTGCCCTGAGATTGAATGCTTCGAAAATATCCAACAACGCGAGCGACGAGATGCTGCTGGACCCATCTCTCGTTCACACAATCGAAATTGACTCCACCGTCGATTGATACTAGAACATAGGTGACGTGTGCCATCGGTGGGGTCCAGTAAACACTCTGTGTTACTATGGGGTCCCATAAAGTAATTATCTGGAATTCAGTCTACTTACAAGACTTCGAGCTTCCAATCAAGTAGCTCTTCAAATTGATTCCATGGTGAGTCAAGGCTATTCAGGACCATAGCAATAATCTATATTAGCTTGTGCAAGCACCTCCAATTGCACCTCTATCAAACCACATGAAGTTTGTCCACGCGCAGCTCGTGGTGACTCTCCATGCGACGCTGTAGTGCAGTGACAACTTTCTTCCACATATGTTGGAAATTGAAGCTTCCTTTGACAATCCAAGGCTGGATGGCACATCGAGATGTTCAGTGACCAACCGCTGACTACCTGGATGAATGAATGACCGAGGTTCCAGATATGGAACATGGAACTGCAAGGTAGTGGACACTGTCCTCTACAGGAGCTGTTTTGACTCGTGAATGAAGATTCCCAGGAAGAATGTCCGCGCGCGGTGCACGGAATGAACTTTCTCAGGAAGTGCACTCCCTGAGAATGTATGAAAGACTTCTTGTCATCTTCGGAAAATCAGGAAATCAGGCTTTGCGGCGGAAAAGCTGCTTGTCTAGGATCTCCCCTTTGCTAGTCATCCAAGTAATCAGAGAGAAGGAGATGTGGCTAGCGCCCCATCCAGGCAGAATGATTACATTTATTGTTTTTTCCATGGTGGAGTTTCACTATGATAGCATCAAAGACTCAGCCGGTAATTTCTGAGTATGAGATGACACAAAACTCAATCTTTCTAATTTAAGAACCATGTCTTTTTCAGTAAAAAAAGCTCGTGGATAAAATATTTTCCGAAAATATAGATCGAACTTATCTATAGAGATTAAACTTAGCAATTTATGCATGCACCCTGTTTAATGTTTTACAAGTTCTGTATTTAACAAATGGGAGTTAATTCTCATTATTGAATTTCTAAAAAAGTGTTCGCGATATGCAATAATCGTTATGCGCATTGTGATATATCAATCTGCTTTGTATCTTCTTAATTCATACACCATGAAGATTGGCTCTGTCCACCACCTTATCGTTACAATACTATCGGGGCCTAGCCTTCGGTTCCGTTGGTTTTCTTCATCGTACGGCTTGAATGAGTCTTCATATGTGTTTGTCTGAAGTATTCACTTGGCACCCTTCCTTAAAAATAATTAAAATCAGAATGCACTTAAACTTCTTTACTGAAAATGATGGAAAGAGTATATAATCTTGGTACGAGAAAAACCCAAGCTCATTCTCTCAAATCTTGCGCCTTTACATATGAAAGGAAAATGTGCAGACGTTACGTCTATTGTTATATTTGACTTTAAAAAGTAGATTATGTTCATCATGAACATAGGGAAGAAATATTCTTTGCTCAAAAGCTCCTCGTTTGTTTGAAACACAAGGAGAGGTGGTTGTCGATATTTTTTTTATAATCATCACTTACAACTGAGCAGATTCAGTTTTCACAATATAACTGAAAACTTAGAAAATGAATAATAATCAGAAACCAGAAATATATATGAATATAACATAGATAATTATAACATATATGCATGTTTTATAGTTTTTCCATTTACTGGGTAATGTATCAAGCTTACTTACTGAGAAATAATAGGAGATATTTAACTGAATGATGTAAATCGCAGTTGCACTTCAGGTTTTTATATTTAAATTTGCTTCCAAATTATTACTTTAATCAATTTTATATAACATGCTAAGAAACATACCTTTTCTGGATGAGTTTTTTGTATTTAATCATAAAAATCTAGATGTTAATCTCTACTTTTCACATGCTGACGTGATGTCAATTACTGAGAAGATTACTTGTTTTGTCTTGACTATTCATTTTTTTGTACATGCATTTTCTTTTAGATCTGGAAGCGTCCGATTCGTGAGTCATTCATATGTTGCTAATATATGGTAGCGTGTGGAATTGTGAAAAGTGCGATGTGTTACTGTTTAAAAAAATGTTCCTTCTGATGAATGTAGAGAGACTATATCTACGATAAGCATACTGAATTGATCCATATCTATTCATATCGCGAGCACATAGAATAAGGATACAATATGTGCTCGTGAGGACCACCAGAGGACCCGCCACTTCAAAATGCATCAACTTCAAAAACAAATATGACTTGAGCAGGCGGACAACAACGCTAAAAAACTCTATAGGATGAACTCTGCTCATCAGCAGTGAGCAGAGTCAAACATTAGAATTCGTCGTCAATTGAAGAAATAAAGCTTAGTAAACAATGCTAGGGCCTGCAGTCATTAGGAACTGGATTCAGCTATACGTTGCTTATGTGATCAGGTTTCACTCAAAGTACACGGGAAAGTTCTTCACGGGGAGCAGATCCTCCTAAGAATCGAGCGCTACACTACGTAGAGGTTAATGGGATCACAGGAGAGTGGAGTTTGGGAAAGCTGCGTGAAAGGCGCTCGTAGAAAGCACCTTTCACGCAGCTCCGATCGCCTCCAGATCAGTGAGGCTTCAGGAGGCTCGCCTATATCCAGTTTTGTTGAATTTCGTACAGGCGACAAATTAGAGTCGACAAAGCCGCAATTTATCAAGAGTACTCAACTAATCGCCCAACCATTACGTAGCCATTGTTTTCTAAGTAAGCCATCTTCAGCATGGATGTGAACGAGCTGTTTGCTCAGATATTTTAACTGGAGGTACCACATTTATCGCAAGACACACGGAGTTCTGAAGTACAACAAGCTCTGAAACTTGCAAGACATTATGGAAATTTGCAAGACTGATGCACATTATCGTCAACATTACGTCGCAAATCAAGGTGCTAAGGAAAAACCATTTTTATCACGTGAGTGCCAGAACCAAAGGTTCTCATCCTTGAGATCATTCAGGACTCTACGCCTGAAATCATTGACATGGAGAATTATATTACTTGCAACACAGAAATCAGATACAAGTGATTATAAGTCACAGGGTTCAAAGGATATGCTGGGAATGGGGGAGGAAAATTTCATGCGCATACATCAGAAGAGTGTAATAAAATCTTTTCCTGGGGTATACATGACCAACAATTACCCAGTCCGGTGTGTTCCGAGATACGCTGGCGTAGACCGGGCTCACTGGTGTAACGTTGTAATTTTTGCACTGTACATCAATCACATACAACACTCTGCAATTCACAAGCTCATAAAATCCTCGTGTCAGCACGTCTAGATCTGGTGGAGAAAGGAGCTCGGAACCCTCCACTATATATATTGCCATTTTGCCATCAAAAGCCATCAGTCTGCAACGATCCATGTACAACTGAGTTCTCTTGCAAATTTTTTGTCACAAAGGTGTTTTATATTATATAATTTTCTCCTCGATCTTTCTTCCTCCTGTGGATTGCGGAAAGGCTTTTCGAACATCCAGGCAGCAAAGGTAGGGCCTTTCCAGATAGGTGAACGATTTTTGTCTGTGTAGATTGTGACAGTATGGAAATGGTTTTTGTTATTGAATTTTACAATCACATATCTGAGGTCCAGTGCCTTGAAAACTGTACATTGGAAAGGGGCGAATTTGACTTGATCAGGGTATGGTGAGTTTCTTCCAGATGATACTCAGGACAACTCGAACACTCGAAGTTTTCAAAGTGCGAGTTGGTAGAATTAATCTCTTGTGGTCATAGACGGCCTTCCATAGATTGATTATGGGCAAAAGTAGAGACGAATCTGACTCAGTGTCCTTTTCCCCAACCTGACAGCAGCTGTGTAATCTCTACATTGTTTCAACTTGAAAAGACATGGCCCCTGATGTAAGCTACACCGATAATGGCAGCACGGTGATTAACCATAACATCTCCTTGCCTCAGTGTGAATTAATAAGCCTTTTGCGAGATTCTAGAACAATAAATGCAAGTAAAACGTTTTGTGTTAAGTTCCATCTGTCAACTTAAATGAACTGTGCGGGACTGAAAGTTATTTTAGTTAGTCGCCTGATTTCATAATTTCCCTGCAAACAGAAATTTTACACGATCAACGCTGTGCAGGTTGTGTTGGACAACGGCACGGTTCAGGTTATCATAACCAAGCCCGGAGGGAATGTTGCAGGAGTCAAGTATGGGGGAATGGACAATGTCTTGGACGCATCACATAAAGAATCTGATCGAGGGTAGGTGCCCTCCCGTCTTCTTTCAATAGGATATTTTGAGCTCTTAGTTGATCTTTCCCATACAAGTATGTATCTGAAGAAAGTGATGTATCATTGGGACACGTATACGCCCTCGTTCTTGATCACAATCCGTTTCCTCCGTAGGTACTGGGACATGAACTGGAATGTTGCCAATGGATCAGATTCCTATGATTTGTAAGTTGCTGGTTTACATACTAATCGGTTTTGGATCCATAAGTTAAAGTTTCTAAGGAGAAACAAAGGGAGAGTTAGGTCCGTTATCACGAGTCATTTTGAGAAATTTTCGTTGGCGTATTCAATGCTAGAAGTGATACATATCCTTTCGTTACAACTACGTAAAGCTTGATCTGTTTATTTAATAAGTTATCAGACAGAAGTTGGTCACATTTGGATTGAGAATTTTCAGGCCAAGTGGAACCAAGTTTCAACTGGTTCACTCGGATGGAGACAAAGTTGAAGTTTCCTTCATTCGACCATACAATTCAAGTCAAACGCCAGCCATGCTGCCTCTGGATGTCGACAAGAGGTATCTTCAGAACCAAATTCTAACGAGAATAAACGACAGCGAGAATTGCTTGAACTAGTGGTTGTAGGAATTAGCTAAAATGACCAAGCAAGCTGCGCTAGGGTGACTTCGGAGGATATTCTTCAAATTATAAAACTGCAGCAGGTGACTCTTTTCCTGCACACATTACTAACATATATCATGATTTATTCTATATACGTAAATTTGCGGATCACAGCATAATCGGGCGTGATTACTTCAGCCCCGTCTCTTCAACTTACAAGACTGTTAAATCTGATTGCAGGTATGTTCTGCTTCGTGGAGGGTCAGGTTTCTATACATACGCAATCTACAGCCGCCCGGCCGGATGGGCTGACTTTGACCTCAATCAGCTCAGGATTGTGTTCAAACCGCGCAGTGACAAGTATGCAGCATCAGATCAAAACTTCATCTTTGATATTTCTAGATTCAATACATTATATATGCTTCCTCAGGGGATTATATTTTCAAATGACTAAACGCCACCACCACACTTCTGCTGAAACTTCAGCCCACACCTACTTTCTAGCCTTCTGCTTTCAACTAAGTAAGTTTCACTGCTTGCAGCTTCCAATACATGGCAGTTGCAGATAACAAGCTCAGGCTCATGCCATCGCCTGATGATCTCACAAACGCTCGAAGTGAAGAGCTAGGTTACAAGGAAGCCAGACTTCTTACTGATCCCATTGAGTCCTCTTTAAAAGGACAGGTAGTACGTTTTCTCTCTTTGTACATGTTTATCTCAGGACATGATTGTACTAGAAATTAGATATGGCTCACAAACCATCAATTCCATTCCTAATCTGCCAAGTATTTATTCAAGACTTCACAGTGGCATCCCTTTTTTGAATTACAATCTTGTAGGTCGATGATAAATATCAGTACTATAAAGACAACAAGGACATAAAAGTCCATGGATGGATGTCCAAGGATACGAATCCTACTGTAGGATTTTGGATGATCACACCAAGCAATGAGTTCAAAAATGGAGGCCCCATGAAGGCAGATCTAACTTGCCACACTGGTCCTACATGTCTCTCCGTAAGTTCATTCGATTATCAATTTCTAGTCATTTCTCAAAATCAGCTCAGTTTAATGAAAAAGAGTGCTGGATCCGAAGTTACGTTTCTTTGAATCATGACGCTGACAACCAAATTCGTTTTCGTTATGCGTCTCCTAGATGTTCCATAGTGCACACTATGCTGGAATAGACCTTTGCCCGCAATTCAGAAACGGAGAAGCGTGGAAGAAAGTCTTTGGTCCAGTTTACGTGTACCTAAATCAAAGACCTGCTGGGACATCAGTTCGTCATCTTTGGGATGATGCAAAAGCACAAGTGAGCAGATTATCATTTCGAACCTGCTTCAATTGTTACTACGCTCTGAGTCTCTTCGGCAACACTTGAAGATTTACCAGTAGATCATCAGGTCTGACAAAGATACATTGGTTCTGCACAGATGGCTAAAGAAGTAGCGGCATGGCCATATACATGGCCCTCTTCATCAGACTATGCACAGGCAGAAGATCGAGGACAAGTATCAGGCCGACTTTTTGTCCAAGACAGGTACTCCGAGTGCTTCTGATATTCATCCTGCAAGCTGGCAGTTTATGTACTGAAGACATTTCTAGTCATACTAGATTCCGACGTGAGTTTGAATATTCTCAATTTCAGAACTCGCAGTCTCTGCTCGAGTGTCCACTTATCGATTGCCTGAATGAGATTACAAGCTGTCAATGACTAAATACATCGCCTTGGCGGCCCCTGTAGTTATGCTTACTCCACAAGGAGTTCAGCTCGGGACGCATGGGTGGGATTGTCCCTGCCTGGAGATGTCGGAACATGGCAGACGGAGAGTAAGGTAATGAGCTGAAAAAATGAAGTGCATCCAACATCGTTCTCAATTTTGGAATTTCAAGCTCAGATGCAACTACTATTTATACATGCCAGCAGTATTGAGTCCTCATTCTATGTGGAATCATGTGAGTAACAGGGGTACCAATTTTGGACCGAAGCTGATAGTCAAGGCAATTTCTCCATTAAGAATGTTCGTGCTGGCACTTACAGTCTTAATGCTTGGGTACCTTCCGTGATTGGTGATTACCTCAAAGACGGACACATTAAGGTTGCAGCAGGTTTGGTCCAAATGATAGACACTCGTGCAATTGCTGGAATTTATTTCTAGGGAGATACGTTTTCATTGCGATCGATGTGAAGGGCAAACTGACTGATTTCTGCGCACACGACTGAATTAAAAATGGCCTGCCATTCCATGCCATGCTGAATGAGGCTGCACGTAGGTACTCCACCTTAAGATTTATCCTTGCTTTGCAGGAGATAATGTCTCACTGGGTGATTTGACTTACACGCCTCCGAGATACGGGCCAACCGTCTGGGAAATTGGGAACCCCAGTCGAACTGCCGCGGACTTTTACATTCCCGATGCAGATTCAAGATATCCAAACCTTCTTTACGGCACCGTCGAAAAGTGAGATTCTGTTGTATCTGAAACAAAATATTGCTTGAACCGAGAAAAGAAAAGTAGAATTTTGTACGGTGTAGAAGAATCGATCAAAAAATCTTCATGAAAATTTCCTCCCATCGATTTACTTCAATTTCCTTAGGCCGTTCGTTGCTTCTGATGCAGTTCCTTTCGAATCACTCAAGAAACCCTTCCGAGTTGGAGAGACAGAAGCTCACAAGTTGTCTGTGATCTATGTAGATGGCGCAATTATGGACTCTGGCAAAGATACACGGATCTATATCCGTCTCACGATTTGATCTTTACAGTAGGAACAAGTGATTACACCAAAGATTGGTTCTTTGCTCATCTCTGCAGGTGAGAAATATTGTGGAGATATAGTATAAGTTGCTTAAGCACATTCTTCTTTGAAATATACTCTTTCAAGACTACGTTTGATTAGCAATTTAGCAAACATCTGATATCACGGAGGGCATACCTGCTCCTACGTTTACTGATACCTTACATCTAACCTGAGGAGTCCAACACCATGCTCTAATCGGAAAGCTCGAAATAATATCATGCTGCATCTGGACAGGCTTGCATCCGATGGTACCTGGGTAGCAGCAACGTGGCAGATCAAGTTCAACCTGTCGACTTTCGATGCAAGCCAGGGTGCTTACAAGCTCCGCATGGCCATTGCCCAAGCAGAGATAGCAGCTGTCCAGGTTGGCAAATATGGCTCCCTCTTCTCTGGATTTCTCTGTGTCACTAAATCATGACCTTATCAACCAACATCCGTCTATTTGCAGTCCATGGCCTGATTCTGGATCCAGTTGAGCAATAGAACCTCGATCTGAGACTGAGAACGCACTGCTGCAGGTCCGGGTGAATGACAGCGCCATGAAGCCTGTATACGAGACGCCAGCATTCGGTAAAGACAACGCCATCGCTCGGCACGGCATTCACGGACTGTACGCCCTCTACAGCATCGACATTCCCGCAGCCGACCTCCGCAAGGGCGACAACATCATGTACCTGACTCAGAGGAAAGCCTCAGGACCCTTCAACGGGGTCATGTACGACTACCTCCGGCTCGAGTCGCCGCCCACGTCCTCCTCGTCCTCGTAATTCATCAGCGACTGGGAGGGACCTCTCGAGAGTACGACGAGCAGCAGCTGCGCCTACAGACGACGACATTCTGTTCATGGCGAGGGACTAGTGTGGAGCCAGTGACGCCGTCCATCTATCGAGATCACACGTGCTGCTCAAGTACTGCGTTTCTACTTGACCTTCCACGAAATCACATTTTGCGAGAAAAATTTTGGCGAAGAGAACCGAGGAATTCTCCTCTGCCCAAATGACGCTCGCCCTCAAGCTCTAGAGAAGTTTTCTTGATGTAAAGTCTGAATCTGACATCGTTTTATGTTGTTGCCTGATGTCTTGAGCTGAAATCAGCTTTAAAAAGTTTTTTTTTGCCCACAACTGTGTCAAATTACATATTACAGCGAAGAAATTCTTCACTGATATATTCTTATATTAAGTAAATAAATTTTTTGACTTTTGTACATAACATTTGTCCATGATTTATTGCTACGTCACCTTCAGTGTGATTGGCGTTTGGAAGAAAAAATATCTACATTGTTCTAGGTCATGAAGAGTCGATATTTGCACAATAACGATGAACTCAGAACTTAGATTATTCACGATAGGATTCAAATAATTATTCTAACCCTTTGGAGTAAAGGACACGAGACTATACAAAAATGGCCGCACCCGAGCCTAGTGTTCTCGGACAGATAGCCAAAAAACTAAATATCACTAACCCGGCGCTTGTCTTATAAAAATCACCAATCAGCACATCTGGTTTCCTTGGATTATGGGCAGGTACTGGGGCCAGCTGAACGGCTATTTGTTCTTGTTCAAGCAAAGACAATCAGTTGTAGAATATGTTCAGGCAGAACTTGATTATTGGTTGCTATGCATGAATTTAGAACAGAAAAGGTTCTGTTGGTGGAAGAAAGGGATATATATATATATATATATATTCTAAGCCTTTAAATATGAATTTTATCTTCTTTTTTCAAGCAGTCCCGGCAGCCTCAATCTGAAACGTAGTTAGTTATTATCGTTTTGGAAATTGTTGTATGAATATTTAAATTTTCATATTTCTCCATACTTAGGCATACGAGAATCACTTACTTCTTGTTAAATATGTTATTTCTCTTTTATAGAGGTATTTACTTGATGTAACCCCATGGTAACTAAATTGTTGGATGTGACTCATCAAATTTTGTTTTACTCAATGGGAACCCATCAACGGTGTGCTGTAGCGAAGTTTTGAATCATGATACTGTACACATGGCAAATTTGGGATGAGTCCTGCAGATTTGCATCAGATTTCTTTCGTCGAGAGTCTAGAAGTTGCATTGAGTTGTACAATCATTTCTGCCTTTGCTTTTTCTTCGATTGCCCCGTATCATTCAGTACAAAGGGAACCCGCTTCCAATGATCTGCGGTGAATCACCTCTGTGGAATACGCTCTCAAAGCTCAGCCACAACTTTGAGAGCGTATTCCACAGAGGCAAAATGTTTGGGGCTAGGCCTTCTTCACCTCTTCGATGTTCTAAATGCAAAAGTTCGCAGACACAAGACAAAACAAATTTCCAAAGAATATCGCTGCGACAGAGGTCCATTGCATGCAACGTCTGTTGATACCATAACATGCGTGACGTGTATCTTCGGTAGGGCCACATCGGGTAAATCAAAAATTAAAAGTTCCCAGTACACAATTTAGATTCCAATGTGTCCCATCAAGTAAATAACTCCTCTTACATAGGAAGAGAGAGATGATATCAGGTGTGTATTCCGGTAGTGGATAAAGTAGCTCATTGCTCGTTTCTCACTATACGCCTTAACATACAAAGATGGATTGCAATACGTTAAATCGCGCCTTTTGAGTTATCTTGTCTTGGGGTTACACTAAGAGATCATATGATTTAGGGAAGCAACGGATCTACAATCAGCTAGAACTTGCCCTGGGTTCATATATCATAAACATGTTTATGATATAATTCTTGCGGTAACCAAGACAAAAATATAAAATTGATCAAATTATATCACTCGAAAATCTCCAAAAGTCTAAAATATTCAAGAACACAAAGATCAGATGCAAAATAAAACAATATCATGCACTGCAAAAGATGGAATCAATGTAAGTTATCAAATTTTATCATCAAAGGATTTTTAATCCAAAAATGTTAGAGTTCAATGAAAGTGTAAAAATGTGATTTTTAATCTTTTTTTATTCATAAAAACTTCAATTTTCTAATAACATAAGGTATATATTCTCTCCTATCAAATTGAAGATATGTTTTAGTAAGAAGTCTCATGAATATAGTCTGAGCAAAAGTCTGAGTTAAAAACATTGGTTTGTGAAAGATATTTCCAAAATAAAGTCTTATCACTATAATTCATTTAAAATATTTCATTAATAAAATAAGTCTAAATATATCTTACTTAGTGAGGTCAGACATTGCAGGATTGATTGTTTATTAAAATTTGATGTTCACTTTACTTCAAAGTGAAACTTTGAATTTTGTAGAATGCTTATGGGTAGTTTATACAAGTTCAACATATTAAACAAAAATTTGATAAATTTGACTTTGAATTTTTTTTATCACATGAAATTAGCTAAGAAAAAGCAGATATTTAACAATTTATTTAATACTTTATGATGTGATCATGATCAATTTTTTAAATTCGTGTAATAACATGAATACATGATCAAATCTAAAAACAAAAGAAAAAGAAAAAGTAGAAATAATTTGAGATTCCAAATTAAGATATTATAAATTAAAACTATATATTATTTTTTCAATATTTTTAATATTTTTTTGATGATATATCTTTGTTATATATATGCAAATCAAACAATTTAATTTTATTCAGAGAGAAAATATATTTATTTCTTCATAATCATTCAATTTATCGAAGTATTAAAAGATTTTTTATTTTTTAATTTTTGCATGAAATGATTTTATCTGTCAAATTTTAATCTAAAAAAATCTTTCTATTCTTCATTGCATCTTCCAGATTTCACTCTACTTTGAACTTTATGAAACAAGTTTTATGAAACGATTTATATCTAAAAATAATTTAATTTTAAAAAAAAATTTATGTGTTTATATTAAATATATTATAAAAAAATATTGAATTTATAATGAGAAAATCAAACAAATAAATTTCCAAATTTAACATTGTCATGGATCTGTTAATATGCGACTTTTATCACATGTATATAGATATAAATGCAAATTATAAATCATTCATATCTTTGAATCAACATTTTCATCATCATGTAAAATAAGTAAATGTATAAAATTGACAATGCAGAAAATTATCAACAACGAATTAAAAATATTTATCAATTTGTTCTGAATATAGTATTTAAAAATCATATAAAAATCTTTTGTCAGCTCTAAACGTAAACCTTAGACACCAAATGATTAGGGCAATTATTGTATGTCTACTATACAATTATATTACTATAATTTATGTCAATTTATTTAAAGTTTATTTTAAAATTTTGTAATAAACCTAATTTTACACTTGACTAGTTATTTTCTATTTCATGCATTTTTTTGTCAGAAAATATTTGAAAGAGAGAGATTTGCAAGATTTAAGAGGAATGTTTGTTACATCTATGAATAAATTTCAAGAAGAAAAGAAAATTTCATATTAACATAAACGTGATGAATTTTAATTTTTTTAGTACTAGATTCAATGACAATATATGAATTTCAAAATATCCAAATATCATCATGATTTGTTTCAAATCATATGTTTTCATTCAAGATGTATTTATCTCCATAGATTCATGTCGTTGAAATTTGTTTAAAATTTTAGATTTTTCTTGAAATAAAAGTCTTTATTTTAATAAATTATATATCAAAGTAAAAAATATTCAAAAATGTCAAAGATACATATCCAAAAAAAATTTATATGTGCTTTTTTAATGTTAAGTTTTAATATTATTTAATTTGATCATTTTTTAACTAAACATGTTTGCGTTTACGTTAATATTACATTTGACATTTGTTCATATAATTGACGATACTGGATTGATAATGTTAAAATATGATAGTTTTGATGAAAAAATCTATATTGAAATGCTTTGCATTGAAATTTGTAGTTTTAAATATGGAAGCGGCTAGTTATTCTTTAGTTTAACCTAATCATCCCTCATCCTACTATACTACTCAAAAGAGAGTTATGTGATTAATAAGCTAAAAAAAAAGATGGGTGGATGTTTAGTCCAAAATAGGGATTTCTTTGTGAGTTTGTGGAGAAGTCATGTGAAGAGGAATAGTGGCAATAGCAAAACAAACATGAGCAAAAACTTGAACTTCATATAATTTTGTATTGCGGGATCTAACATTATATCCCAATTGCTCGCAGCGATCATACCATAGTCGTTGAAACAGTCGATCTAAGTGCTCAAACTCAAAAGCAACCTACATGTTAAATCGGTCGGTCGGCCATGCATTGATGCACTCTCATGCTCTTTTATCTCAATCGCATCTACTACTTTGACATGATCAAACAACACGCGTTGGCGGTATGAAGCTGCGTGCACATATTCATCAACTATACTCCGCAGAGTAGCATTCAGAGTTGAAATTGACTCAAATCGTGGAACACGCGCAGGCTTTATCAACCATCAGAGTTGATCAAACTCGTCCATCGATAAAGACAGAGTATGATCTTGAAATACGTGCTTATTATAAATGCCTATTGTTGTTGAGAAAATGCTGACACTCATGTTGCTCAGCTGGTGATGAACTGATCATTTTATCTACTACTTGTACGCTTGTTTCAATTCTTTGATTAAAATTTTGCCAATGATATTGCAAAATATGTTGCGCTTTCTTGTGATAATTATCGCAAGTTGGTCGTTGCACGCAAAATGTAGCGTAGTAACCACAGAAAGAAGATCACCTACAGATGAACTCAGTCAAATTTTTCAACACAACATTAGCACTCTCCACGCGCGAGGTGGAGAAATGTCATTTTGTACTACTTGTACGCTTGTTTCAATTCTTTGATTAAAATTTTGCCAATAACATTGCAAAATATGTTGCGCTTTCTTGTGATAATTATCGCAAGTTGGTTGTTGCACGCAAAATGTAGCGTAATAACCACAGAAAGAAGATCATCCAAAAAAAAACTCAGTCAATTTTTTCAACACAACATGCGCACTCTCCACGCGCGAGGTGGAGAAATGTTTGTAATGTTTCTTAGCGTGCGACAAAGCGAAAAACTTGTAAAAATCAACAAAACAACATTAATACAACAAAAATTGCGTCAAATTGATAAATATTGCATCAATAAATAAAAATGCATCAATGTCTACATAATCTTCCAAAGAAGCCAAGAATATTTGATATAACTCATAGGAGTTGCCGAGAAGGTGTCGCGCATAGCAACAAATTGTGTGTCATAGGCTTTGATGATCTTGAAACTAATCATCAAACTCACTAATCTTAAATTTGGCCAAATTTTTTTCGGTCGCAAAGTACTTAATCTGTTTTGCAAGTATGTTTTTGTTGATATGCCATCGGCACAACAATATATCTCGTCTAGAAACAACACTTACAACGCTTTTATTAACGCAAGTTCTCGATCTGTGACAAAATTTATTGGGAAAACATCAAAATTGTTAAAAACCTTTTTAATCTTGCTGAACGTTCACATGTAGTCTTCCTCCTTCTCCTTTCGCAAAAAGTAGTAAGCAAAGATAAAGGTGTTGGCAATAGCGGTCATAGAAACAACATGCAGCAAGGGAAGATCATACTTGACTTTGTAAATTGCATGAAGTAAAAAGATGTAACTAACAGCATACTCATTGTAAATCACATTTGCCTACGGCGATAAGATAACCATGTTTGTTGGATTCTTCTCATTGCTCACTTGGGTGAAATAATGCGTGCTTCGCCTAGCGGCCAAATTGTCAAACAACGTAGAAAGCGGATAACTACATGCAAATATCCGAAGACGTTCCTTTTGACATAAATACTTGCAACGGCAAAAAACATAAAGGTATGTCTTTTGCAGTTGCAAGTATTCATACATTTTGCCGTAAAGTCGTAACAATTATGTTGGTCATAACACAAACATGACCAAGAGTAAGCGTTGTCTCTCTTTGATCTCCTAAATGCCGTCATTGCGGATCAACGATGGGATGAAGAAGGACGTCATGGTTCTATTGGCCAGATTGAACTTGAATATTCGATACAAGTTGGGTTTGTACTTCTCCTTTGCCAATTGCTCAGCTGTTGAATTAAATTGAATTGTTGCTTTGAATTGACAGCCAGTGCTACGGCTAGGTGTGCTGAGTTGGAAAGAAACTTCATGAACAACTGGTTTGTTCAAGTGAAAACACACAAGATGGAGTTCTTTGATAGCTACATCTTTCTTGTTACAAATCCTGCATCTGCGCTTAATTACAATGGCGTAGTCTTGACGCAACGTGTAAGCTTGCACAGTTGATAGCGCAATGTCCAATGTTGTGTCGGAGATATATGGCGGTGAAGCAAGCTGGAATCATAAATCTGCATTAGTTATTATATCATGGCTGTGAGATCCGCTGCGTATTGAACTTCCATCGCGCACCATCCCGCCCTTTGTTTCACTTTACCGCAAAAGTGGATTTCACACTCAAGCTAAATTTGATTGGTTGGACATTCAATACGGCTATGCGCTCTAATTGCAATCTAGTCAATTCTAACACTATCTCACATATATCCAAATGGATTCCTCCATGTTGAGAATCAAAGTGAGATTTTCTCGCTGCCATATGCTTTCATGATGTGCACTACTTCTAATTCTTTTTCTTTCCCATGTTCTCGCAAAAATTGCATCCCCCTTCCCGTCCATATTCTTGCATGTTCTTAAAATCATTTTTGTTTTCTTCTAAACAATCACATACCTCTCTTCTTTAGAGTATAGTAAGATGAGATAAAATTAACCTAAACTTAGTAAAAACTAACTCCTACCTTAAATAATCATTATACTCAACATTTTGAATAGTGATATACATTTTTATAAAAGATTAGAAGTGTATCAAATATCATCATGATGTATTATATTATAAATTTTTTTCCCATTTATTAACATGTATGAAATTTTAAATTGTATTCCAATTATATTTATTTTCATTTTATTTTATATCAAAATTTTAGAAAATATTTCAGCTATTATTATTCCTCATACTATGTTTGTATTTGATTTTACTCAGAATTTTCAAAATTATATATACACAATAATATAGAATTTTTTAATTGCATTCAAAGAATGTACATTTCATAATATTTATTGATATATGAATGCTCTGTCATAGAATCAAATATTTATATTTATATTGTATTTTTTTCAATAGAATTTACTAAATTGAAATTTAAAATATTTTATTATGAAAAATAAGTGTAAAGAGTTCTTTATATGAAGCAAAATTTCAACATTTTGTTGAATATACATCTATCAATTGTATAATTTAAATTTTCTTGATGGTACATAGTTTTTGTATATATATAGTATTTGGATGAATTACAATGTTGGTTAGTTTAAGCACAATAACATGATTTCGTTTTGTAACCTGTTAACGAATGTATGTACCTTAAATGTAGAATATTATTCCATATGTAACATTTTAAATAATTTTTTTAAAAAATGATGATCTACCATTTACAATATTCCTAGTGTTAATTTAAATAACTTTTCTTAATAAAAATTCACGTGAATTTGATCAAATTTTTTTTAAATCGGATTGTACATCGCAATTTTATAATAGTTTGATTAAAACATGTATAAGTTTTTATCCATTGTTTACACTAATCAGATACCATCATTGTTGTAAATTCCTTTCTATTTCTTCTGTATTCAAAATTTTCAATCATTGTAGAAACATTTATGAAATATGAGGTGATAAAATAGCCTTCAACAGAGAGTGATATTCATCAATTGTTACTCAACACTAATGCTACAATCTTAATATTGAAGTCACTGTTTTATTGTAATCTTTGCACTTCAATTCTCTCTCCTTACTACGTTGTACAAGAGCAACCATGCCCGACAGATACTGTACCAGTTCTTATGTCGTTGGCTTCTGTACAGTGGTTCCTCTCGTCAGAGCTTGCCGACGTTTCCGTTGGAGTCGATCCTTTTCCAAAACCCTAAATCGAAAACCCTATTTCGAACACTCTCTTCTCGCCATCTCATTGTCAATAAATCATTCGATCTCGCAGAGGTTGAAGCAAGTCACCAGCTCTCAACCTCACTTCTGTATTTGTATAGTCCGCTCCCCATGTTTGCATACTGAATAGAAGAATTGTACTGACAGTCGGTCAAAATTTGCTCGTGTCGGCATTAGTCAGCTTAGCCCTGTTCTCAGCTCCGTGTTTTGTCTTTGATTTTTGCTCATCGAAGAATTCTGTATCTGAATCAATCATCGCAAATCTGTTAGCTACATCTGCAGTCTTAGCGAGGAGTACGCATGCCCGTGTGTACAGATGCTTTTCCTTTCCAAGAAGCAAGCTGAATGGAGGTAATGCCATAGGAATGGGGAAGTGGGCAGTGCAGCGGGTTCAAGTGCCTGACTCCACAATCACTTCCTCTACATCTTTGCAGTGATTTTGTTTGTGTAGTAATAGGTAATGAATGCCACCATTGCAGAGCATATGAGCGGCTGGGCTTGAAACACCTTAAGCATTGGCTTTATACTGTTTTGAATGGTCGGCAATATTAAAGCCAACCCCTCCGGGAACTTGTGAATTCAATGTGCAAGGAGCCTCGAAAGGGTTGCAACATTTCAATCGGTCAATTCAAATCCCGTATCCCGCGTCACAGGAAAGATGGCAGGATCTTTTGGTCTCGAACGCGAGGTATACCTGAGGTGTTCACTCGACCGTGAGTGCAGATGCAGGATCGCTTCGTTGATTCGACCAAGTCTTTTCGTCACGGTCAGACGGGACGGGAAGTCCCACCTCAATCTACCCACGGGAGAGGTGTCCGCCAACTTTATCGTCCTTAAACTGAAGAGGTGAAGCGTTTCTGACAATAAGATTTGAAGAAAAACCTGTTGTCCAGCTGCGAGGGGCTGAGATTAGTTAAGGAGAAATGTCCGAAGAGCTATTGATCAGGACCTGGTATCCAAACCCTTGAATGGCCCCCTGGATGAGATATTCTCGTACTTGCGCTATGCCAATCACTCAGTTGATCGGACAAAGAATATCCAAAAGCTTGCTGAAGGAGTTCCTTCACGACTTTCGTGACTGTGACGTTAGTACTAACAATCCCGGAACATGGTCTGAAACCTGTCCTGAAAGAATTATGCAACCAACAAAGCTCGTGAAATTGCTTCACAGCAATCTGCAAAGGATAGTCTAATACTACAGGCAATGTGCTATCTCTTGCCCACAACTTTATCCACCTAAACATCAAGGGACTCATCAAAAGGAAGAGAAAGAGGGTAATCCGCTTTGGGAGCAGAGCGGAGGGAAACACAGTGAATACAGGTGACAAATTTCTGAACGTCCGAACGTGTGGCAGCGAATGGTATACCTGGATTACTGATCGTCAACTACTCACAGTTACGAACAGTTCATGAGCGTTCGAGCGAGAGTGTTCGGCTCGAGCAATCGATGATAGATGAAAAGATTGGTCTTGCACACAGCTACACCAAATCCCGATTTCTACCTATGTTATAACTTCATCTCCTGTCGTAAACACTGAATGTAACCGTTGACGTGCTCTGAATTTATGGTAATTCAGAACCTCAGATCTGTCGAGAGAGTAAGCATAACACAGGACTTGGGAGTTGTGCGCTATGCCTTTCGTGGCCTGCATTTCTCAAGTTTGTTTTCCACAAGAATCTGGATTTGAAGTGTGTATATCGGTGGAGATAGCTTGAATGTAGGTAGACACATCAGCATATGGAGCAGTGAGAACTGACAGATGCCATTTTTGTCGGTATTGTCGGAGAGCACATGTAGTCCACTGACAGAGGTAGCAATAAGCTTTATGGTGCTGCGCTTGTGTCTCTATAGCTGTCTTTTCCTGAGAACGGAAATAAGTTGACCGATGAACTTCGATTAACAACTTCTCCTACCTTCTGTGGTGTTAAGGCAGACTGAATCGATTTCAAAATCAGTGGACATATCAAAAGGATGTTCCATGAGACGAAGTCTTCAGATGTCAACTCATTGTGAGGCAATTGCCTCACAATTGGGAAGAAATAATGGTTCAGTCTTTACGTCAAAGTATGTAAGAGTTGCAGTCACAAGTGAAAGATGTTCTAATTTTCTGCATCAGAAGGTAAGTAGAGTTGAACATATTATAAGCTTTTTTATAGGCCAGATGGCTGGATTTAAGGATATTTGCTTTTGGTTGCTTCTGCATATACAATGCATACCAAGGATGCAAATCTGCTTGTCACGTAATATTTCTAAGTCTTTACGATACTTAAAGAGGCTGCAAACAGTTAACAGGCCCAATAATGAACAGTCAATTATTTGAGATTTTGAAGAGTCAAAGAGGAATCACCCTGCTAACCTTCTCAGATCAGATGATCAGATGCAAGCCTTCTATCATGGATGTCACAAGACATTATGATTTCTTCAAATATTCTCACGACAAAGCTGTCGTAGGTTATGAAACTTGTAGGTTATGAAACTTTTATTGGTGGTTTCAATGAACTCAACCTGAAGAAGCGTTTCATTCTTTCAGGTTCTTTTATGTCACATGTACAGTATATTGAGAGTTTTCAGAGATCTTGTGAATTTTCTCTACAACAACTCTACAAGGTGTTGCTTTCGTACAAAGGAGTTAGAAAGCTGTCAATTATTTCATACCAAGCTCTAGAAGATGGACACATACCATAAAGTGCTTTTCTGAGTTTACAGACATGACAGCTATCCTCCCATGCTTTCAAAATACACAGAGTTGCTCCTTTAAAACCTCTCTTTGAACCTACCTTCAAATACAGAGATTTTTAAATCAGGGACCATGGATTAAAAAAAAATGGGAGGATCCAATCAACCCGAAGAAGGTACGAATCAAACAGGTGCTAGTTACCGATGGTGATGAGATATAGATACTAAAACATTTACTATATCTTAATTTTCATTATCAAACCAAATATAACTCTCGGATGTTGCATCACTTTGCATGATTGCAATCTCTCCGTCTTGCCTTGCATCATACAGTAACCCACAAGACATGATTTGCGAGCCTGAAACAATTCCAACAAGGTGCTCTTGATCATCGGGGAAAGGGCTATGAAATATCTACCCATTTTTTTTCATGAAAGTTTTTAATACTTTTTGTATCACGAGACAGTGTTAACAACTATCTGTGTGTTCAATTATAACATTTTTTATTAACTTTCAGGACATATTCTTTCCATCTATGCGCCAATTTCATCATTGATAACCCTTAGTCATTGATAACATAATGATTTTATGACAGTATTCTTACAAATCTGACAGGGTGAAAATACTGGGAACTATCTTGCAACTTTATACGTTCCTGTTCTCCACTTCAAAAGATAATGTAAAACCGTCAAACATTTCATATCACTCCGAAGCTTGTCTCACTCATTACTAAAAGAAAGTTCTAGAGACGATTTAAGATGCAGGCCGTAGCTCTTCCTCCTCTGCGTTGACGCGATCAAACTCGTGTTCGACATTCTTCTCACCCCTTAGTTCGGTTGGTACTCCCTCGTCTTCCCACTGCTGTCGCTTTTCTGTCAACACCTTGCTTCTTAGCTCTACGAGGATGCGCGTGATCCAGCCCGAAGACACAAATTCATTGATTTCCCCCACATAAAAACTCGCTCCCCTTTGAATTTTTATGCACTTGGACTCTTACAAAGCCTCACACACACCCTTTAACATGTAGTCCGTTGCGGTTTGGCATCCTTCTCTCACGAGATATTACACTAGTGCTCAAACCTCATACTATTTCATAGCCACATTACCTATTTACTTTTTAATTATCTTTGACATTAGTGCACTAGTCAGCAACATCCCCGCTACTATGATTACAAAAAATAGAAATTATAGTATAATATATGATCATAAATTAAAAATCTCTCATAAAACTTGAGTTAAATGGTATTATTTATAAAAATTTTGACTAGTTAATGAGTAAATGAAAGACTCAAAATTATACTAGGTGAAATGGTGTATAATTACATTAAATCACAATACATAATGCTTTTTTTCACATTTACTCTAGACAACATGTTTTAATTGCTTTATAAAAAACACCTTTACACATTGGAATGCAATCATATTTGGTGATTGGTGTTACAACCTCAAATATTACGATCGTTATGGATTTTTGATCTGAATGATTAATATAATATAGGTTTTTAATTATAGATTTCATCAAATCTTTCTTCTTAGTTGAACTTGATGGATACTTCTCATGAAATTTCATGTCCATATGGTACCACCACGAACCTAAGACATCTCTTTCTCTTTGTTATGATGACAAAGTTTACTCATGAACTCTTATGTCATTCCACAAAGTCAGTGTGAGTGTTAAAATATTTGGTTATTGCATGGAATATTCTCAAGACCAACTTCCTCACCATAGAATAGTGGCTAAAGCAACAACTCAAATTTGTTGTGAAACCAAGATAAAGTATGTCAATTAATGATGATTAACCTATGAGGAACATATTGAGACCGAAAATTATTACTAGGAAGCGAGAATTCTCTCGGAGATGAATCCTATATTGAAAAGAAATATAATCGATACTGACTACATGTTGACATGGAAAGAGTTTAAAACTGTACTCGATATGAGAAATCGACGTATATGACGAAGTTGAACATACTTCTCTACAAATGAGATGAAATCTGCGGTTTCAAGCATCATCAAAAGAATTCCTTGGGTAATAACTCATCCACCTGACCACTTTTAAAACATCCCCTGCTTTGGGTTCTAAATGAATGTCAGTGAAGACCTTAAACACCACCAACAGAGCGGGTTTAGGGAACACACACGCACTCTCTCAAACTAATAAATGCGTGTGTTTCTAAAGGTGTGTGAAGAGACAAAGAATTTCTGAGATTTCCTTCGAGCCAAATAGTGGAGTTTAACCGTGAACATAGCTTTCCGAGGTTTTGGACACTGAACTCTTTGTCAAGCAATGTGTTTTGTCAATGCAATAGTGCTCAAGGATGTAGCAGATTCACGTCTTTTGTCTTGTCATTAAGACTCTTTTGGAAACCTTTGTGAAGGAGAATACATCCTCAGATTAAATGTCTGCACTGGTTTGTGAATTTCTGACTGGCAGTAACGAAACCAAAACGGAGCATTTTCGACTGAATCTTCCAGGCCAACTCAATTCTCAATTATTTCGAGGTCGCTGACTGTCAAATTCTGTTACAGTTTCTTGCTCATGTCGTGACACGGCTCGGGAGTGTCAGACTTCAAATCTGAATCAAGTCGGATTTGAGACAAAGAGAGAGAGAGAGAGAGAGAGAGAGAGAGGGGGACGAATGAAGTCTACCAAAGTTTACCAAAAGCATTCACAGTCCGTTCACAAAATCAGAGGTGTGGAGTAGCCGTGATTTTGCAGCCCAACAGCTGTGTTCCCTCTGTCGGTTTTCATTGGTTCAGGAACATTATTTTTTCATTGTACGTCGAGTGCATAATGTCTTACGCCTAGCCATGAACCTACCGACCTAGTATTCATCTGAAAACTTCATTTTTCAGATAATCAATGAACAATGTCATACGCTGGCTTCATCCATAGGAAAGTATACAACGCTGAGGAAGTTCTGCACGAGGTGCCATAAACCTCTGCAGTTGTTATGGTCGGTTCGAACAGCCGCTTGCATTTTGACACGAGAGACAGGTACGAGCTAATAGCCAGCCGTGCTGCAAAGAGGATGGATTTATCTCACCTACCATGGAAAACACAAATTGCACAGTTCCACAGCTTTTTCGAGCCTCATGCTGAGTAGTAACAGGAGCAGCAGATTCAGACCGCGCTTTCTCCTCCATCCTATCAGAATTGGTCGTGACTGGATTGCAGAAATGTTGGCAAGTGGAATATGGGTAACCGAACCCGTCAAATCAAAATGCTTGAAGAAGCATATCTACAGTGCTCATATTTGTTTCGCTTTTCTGGTCTGATTCTGCAGAAATCCAGTCTGCTGATAGAGGAACAAAACAAATTTCGAGATCTGAAGATATCCATGCTAGGAGGAAAATCGATCATCCTATTGTCTGGTCTAGCACAAGGTGGTCGGTGATCAATGTACAGATATTATTAAGAACTCTAGAGCTTTGACTCTTGCAAGATACAAGGCCTTTTTTTCTCCTTTTTTTTTTTCCTCTTTTTTCTTATTAGCATTCAGGTAGGCCATGCTGACGCTGAAGATATCCAAGACATGCACGGATTCTCGAGGTCGGAGTCCAGGAATCGAAGAGCGAGTCATAAACTGTTCAGTATCTGGGTCCAGCTACTCAGCAAAAACTAAGCAGTCAGAGAACTGTGATTATTCCCAACAGCTTACAGTCTTGTTACCATAAAAAGTGCATATCAGAATTTTGGCCGTAAAACTTCAACTTATTAGATAGATAAAATTGACAAGCATACTACTTAAGCACTGCCTATGTGGGAGTGGAAGACCTCTCATCCAGTTTCTCGCATTAAGTCAAGCTCTTCACGATGTAACATTCCTGTTTACAACGGTGAAATGATCGAGCATTTTGAGCTTTGCCGGATGTCCTAGGGGAAACTCCTGATAAGCCTGCGAGTAGGCTGAAGATTGACAGTCGCAACACAGATGAGTGCACTCGAAACATACTCAATTTGGCAGAATCCACTGAATCCGATCCGAACATAGCTCAAAAGCTTTCTCAAATTGCCGTCACCTTTTTTGAGATCAGCGTACTCTAGCATGGGCTAACGCTGATCATCGAACTCTGGGCTGTCAGCTATCCTTTTCTCTCATGTTATGTGTATGTCATATGAATTACTTTCTCACTAAAGTTGACCACATTCACTGGGTTCTAGAAGAGAGTTCGTAGACCTGCAGAGAAACCATGGTCTTGGAATTTTCATATCTCAAAAAATGCTTCGCAATATCATTTTCAGGGTTCAGAAAGCGTTTATGGGTTATGATTCTTGAGGATTCGATGTCAAATTTTAGTTAGGTCTCAAATTTGACTGCGCTTCGTTTAATCTGAGGTCTAGGGCTGCATGCTACAGAGGACCCAAGTCAGTACTGTAGCTGGGCTTGCACTGCATGTTCCGAAAGGCGCGATCCAACCAGACGTATAAGTCCGAGGTTTTACTTTCAGCGAGAAATATTAGAATATTTGTTATGAAGTCTGAGATTTGGATATTCTATTCTAAACGGAAAGCAGTCAGCATCGAAAGCTAAAAGCCTGTCAACAGAGACCTATAAATGAAGCATATGGAAGGCCCTCTCGAAGGGAGCACCTACGAGGATACAGTCTTGAATGAGGAGACTACAATTGCTAGCATAGGGCGAGGAGTTACTATACATTCAAGATCAAGCCAATCTCTAGTAACACAATCTGATCACTATATTCCAGTGGCACGGGGACAGCTGAGGGGTGTATCCGAGTGTTGGTCAACAGAGGTGCATGTTCAGGTTCCCGAACAAGGGAGGAGCTCGAGCATATTTACGTGCACAGCACTGTGTACAGCGTCCAAAAACCGCAGACAAAAATTTTGAGCCTTTTCAATTTTGAGCTCAGGCTCCAGAACCTCTGTGAGCTAATTCTGACGTCGCCCTGCTGGCGTCGCGAATCATGTGACTCGGCAGTACCTCGGATTTGCGAAAGTCGTGTACAACAGGGAAGGACTCCAGAGTCTCGATCTACTCGGCTTCAATTAGATCCTGGTGCTCTCCCCGCCTGCTCACTATACCTCGTTAGTAATGGGCCTTCGATAAAACACGCTCCTCGAGTGGTAAGGAGTCAAACTACTACGAGCCTGTATATTCTGGCGTTCATAACAAGAGGTTCTATACTTAGCAAGGTTCGTCTCGGAATTCATAAAAGTTCTGTCCTCTGCCTTTGGCTTTACAGATCTTGAGATCCTGTATCGTCTTTTTCGATAGGAATCAGGTCGCTCGAGTGGTCTGGTCTAGGCTCGAAGCCTGCGCTAGCTGCAATATTGCTGGAGATTCTCTGTTCAGGGCCTGGAGATACTTTTTCTGACCTGGAGGTTCTCCGTCTGATATGTGATAAGTGGTCTTCATCGAAGCATGGACCCGAAACTCGGTGGTATCCTCATTGTGCATGCTCTCCTCCTTCGAGCCTGACATGGTGTGCATGAAACATCCGAAGACAGACAAAAGTTCTGAAATGAATTTGGGCACCACATCATTGAGAACATGCTCTCGAAACTCGTTGGTGGCTGTGCTTGTATTTGTTTGATCTGTCCTGACGCTCAGACATCCGAAGCCCACCTAAATGTCTCTTAATAGTTTCTGTAGCCTTCAGTGTTTCGAAAAATGGAATGATTCGGTAGCTATAGTCTTTAGAAGGAAAGTCTGAGAACAAAGTGGGAGTTCGCTCGCTGGACTCTCAAAAGGTTGTTACACACGAGAAACGTAGACTGCAATGGTACGACAGTTTTACCTTTCGGTGGCTGCCTCGTGAGAGACATTTTACAGACAAACTTCACAATGATGAAGCCTTTTTTCAGACGTATTAAACAGAAAAAGTTTTAGTTTTCAAGTGTTCATGAGAACGCACCGTGCCCTCGGCATCGACGATCGAAGAAGTAAAATCTGCGGGACGAAACGCCAGCAGTTGAGCTTTATAAGGTCAACAATACAAAAACTGATGATACGAATTACAATACGATACAGAGAAGCTTGAGAGAGAAGGTGCGGAAGCACATGTTTGAGTCCCGATATTTTCTTCTCGGGTTGTGGAGCGGAGTGATCTTAATTAAAGTCCATCAAGCTAATTTTATGCATGAGTCACATATCCTCGGAGTCCTGAATTACAAACGTTGCTGCTAGCTATCTCTCATCGGATTGCAGAGTCTGCTATCGGCTGTAAGCTAGAACTACGAAGCTCGAAGTTCGAAACCTGCTCAAAGACTTCTATGACGTTGTGATGTGGCTGGGCCAATGGGCTGCCAAAACTGCCAGACAGACAGACGGGTTCTAGCTATGATACAATAGCTTCAGGCAACCGTAACGATGGTCTTCACACAAGTGATTACTATGATCAACCAATCATGGACGGTGTGCTCTTACCGTACTGGATGAAGATCTGGTAGGGAGCCCTAGAAGACCTACAGCTATTCACCTCTGTTCCAGGATAAGGGAGCCTTTGACTTGCAGTTTATCGTTGGGGTCGTCCAGATTTGTTTCTTTTGTTTCTAGTATGGTTCCCTCTCCGGAACTCTGCTGAGAACTTTGCGAGGTCTTCTTGTTATCTTTGCGTCTCCGGTCGGTAGACCTGGCAATGTACGCTCAGCCACTCAGACACCAAACACGTTCTTTACAACTCTTTATGCACCAAATAAAGGGTTACATATTCTAATATTGGGGAACTGTCAAAGCCCGCTCGGACCCAAAACACGGCCATGCATGTGCGGATGTGTAGACGTGAGCTTATTCGTGTACAAAATGACCAACAATAATTCATCACAACCTTTGGAGGCTTCAGTTCTGCCGGCACTGGGAACTGTAAAGCGTGCAAGGATAGATCAGAGAGCAGAAAAAGGAAAAAAGGATCACGATGGCTTAAGCTTTTGGGATGCAGAAAGAGGAAACTTAATAGTTATGTAGGGAAGAGTACGGACCTAATGATCTGAAAGCCCTGGCAAGCTCTGGAAGTGAAAGTGAGATGGCCGTCACTCTACGGATAGAGTGTTAAAAAAAGAAAGGTCTTTGCTAGTTCCCCCGTAATCAAACGATGCTTTTCGATTTGATATTTTGGTGGACCAGTGCTCGTTCAATGATAGGAGACCATCTCCGACTCGACGATTTTCATATTGCCCATAAAGCTCCGAGTTCAGAATTGTATTGGACAAGTGTCTGGAAAACGGTGGGATCAAAAGTGCTGTTTCCTTTTGGTCGTGATGCGCCCGTGACATCGACCCATGAGAAACGTATTGATTCAGCTTTCTGTAAGAGGCCTTGTGCCAATCAGAGCTCAACCCAAACCTCATTTGTCGTTTGAATTTCTGCACGTGTCTCCGGCCTATAGGATCGAACTCTTTATCCATACTGGAGCTCTTACAGTTAGTGATTCATCGATTTTTGATCCAGTGAGCAATTGGTGCCTCAACAGCTCGACTTCACCTCATATCCTTGCTAGCGACGACGGTCTTCAAGGGAGACTTCGGACGAAATTCAGCTGCAGCGTTGACCATGACGTGTTTCGCATTCTTCAGTTCAGCCATGATAATATTCTTGTGTGGGCTTAAACAAAAACTTCAGTTTCTAAGTAAGATCGATTTTATTCAAGATAAACCAAGTAACTAAGATCGTCCTCCTATCGACTCGATCGAGACGATCTATTCTTTAAAACTGCAGGCAAACAACTCAGCCCACAGAGCTTTTTACAACATACAGTTTAATTTGCCAAGATCACGGTACGTGCTAACTGCTATATCGTATGAGTCGCATTGCTAGAAACTTGTAACTGGCTGAACTTCTTTGTACTTCCGTGGCAGCTCGACCAAATCTCTGATCTCTCCGACCAAAAGTTCTAGAAGTCAAGGAAAAGATCAGACTCTGACACAAAACGAATCTCCTCCCAACGACCTTCAGCAGAGCTTGTGGTAGGAGAGAGCGGGATTAGATGACTGGAGTCTGTGCAGGATTCGATGGTTTACCACCGAGGCCAACAACTTCACACTAGTGTACGAACGGTGTGTCCGTTCTGAAATTTCAAGTTTCGTGGAGGGAGGGACGGAGGGGCGCGTTCGTAGGAGAACATTCTCTCGATCGATAAATTTTCATCTTCCACGTATCGATGGATCTCCCAGGTACACTTGTCACATCCTCGATGTTTGTCTTAGAACTTAAGCACAGAAAAGGGAATTTTCTCGAAGGACATCAGTGGACTTTGTACTTCGTGTTAGGAAGGAGCGAGAGTCTCGGTGATTGAGGTAACACCTTTTTGTCCTTTCGTATCATAACATGATCACATCTGTCATGCTACTCAGGCCAGCGCTAACTTCTGACAAAGTGTCAATGTGCCATGCCTTGCCACGCCTGGCCTTGCCAATAGTAATCAGGATCGAAATTCTACGAGACCATAACGACTCCACTTAATAATAGATGCAAAAGAATATTGAGTCAGATCTTAAAAGGTCCTGCATGTTATTCTCCTGAAGTAAAAGTATGTACAATGTCTCTCAAATCAAAGATGACTTCGTGCGGAAAGACGACTGGGCTGCTCACTGTACTAAACAGTTGATCCAAGCCAGTGAGAAAATGAAAGTTACGGGCTCTAGAGTCTGGACCTAGTATTCCAAACCGAAGCAGATGCGGAATGTCGACACTCTATAATGTGCTTTGACTTTGATAATTCAGAAGAGGCTCGCTCGAACCAAACATGTAAAGGTCCCTGCTCCGAACCTTCAAACCGAAATCGAGAGAATACTCTGAAACCTGGTCAACTGCGCTGAGTCAGACCTGTTTCGGACAGATGGGCTTGCGGCTTGGGGCTTGGGGCTTGGGGCTCGGAACTCTTCATGATAGGTTCGTCCGCTTTCCAATGGCTTTGGGTAGATCTACATTTGGCTCGAGAATGAAGTCATCCTCCCCTCGCAAACAGCCTCGGGATCTTTTTAATCAGAGTACGACCGATATACGACACTTTACTAAAACGAACCAGGACTGTATCGGTGGGGATGTCAACTTGTGCACCAAAATGAGTTTATACATTCCTTAGGGTTTAGGCCGAGGTTAAAAGTGCCTGGCAAATGAAGACTTCTCTAGTTGTTGATGGCGCAGAAGAGCAGTGGCTTTGCAGCATATGGTTTCCCGAGCGAGAGTTTGATTCGGATGAAAATATCGAAATCTCTGGAGGATGAGATGGACGAAAGAGGAACAGATGATGGATGGGGAGGAGGGCGAGACGTGAATCAAAAGGAAGCTCAGTACTGCACGGAGATCTTGTGCGAGCCTTATCAGCACCTGCGGCAGTCCACGTCGTGAGGCCCGACGCACTTGTGGTTCTTATTGAACGTGAGATTTATCGAGTAGATCATCCGAAGCTATGGCCCGATTCTTCCCCGTATGCTAGTAGCCAGCCTCGGGCTCACATGTGGCTCACAGTCCGGGACAGACCAACGAGCCACCGACCCACAAATACGAAATCAGTCGGGCCCCTCAGTTGCTTTCTGCATCGTCCACAGGACAGCAGCCACTGGATCTGTTCATTCTCCGTCTGTGCACTCAAAAACTCGAACATCGTTGAGCTCCGTCTCATGACACTGTCCGATTGCGTGAAGTGAAAAACCAGAAGAGAAGCAAGAAGGATAAATTGAATTTATCGACACATTGTTACAGGTCCAGGGAAACTTGTGATCTGAAGTTTTTCGTCCAGAGTTACCAGGCTTTGGAAAGGGAAGGGAAGGGAAGGATAATCATGTCACACGGTGACGAAAAAGTTCCAGACCTTGAGCCAGATGTTTTCATGATATCACAGCACAACCGATCCAGCTCATTTTGGTTCATAGTACAGGTCTGTACAAGGAAAGGGACCTCCGGCAACCTCAGCTCGGGCCAAAAGTAGAACCATAGGGCTCTGAAAGCGTCTCATGAGCGTGAGCCTGAGCTCTTGGAATTTCAGAAACTCGATGGATGGCAGATGGATACAAAAGGCGGTGACAGGACACATCATTGGGGATGATGAGAAGTGGATGTGTCATTCATTATCAGTAGGACCGGACACCGTACAGAGGTTAATGTGGCCCTCCGCTAGTCCAGCTTTCGAGTCGAGCCCTCTCCCGTCCCATCCCCTCCCCTCCCCTCCCCTCGGAACACGGAAAGCAAAAGCTGTGCGCAGGTGGCCGTAGGCTGAGAGCAAAATTGGTCGATTCATCCATCGATCTCTAGATTTCTGATTCTCCAATTCCTCAATTCCCCAATTCTCCAATTCCCCAATTCCTGATCGCCATCCATCATCGGAGAGAAACACAATTCTCGAAACGATTTTGGACCGACGTGAGGGCCAGTGTCGGCAAAAGGGGTCAACAAATCCCGCTCTCCCAAGTGAATCAATCCTCGGGCATATTCTTCGTCGGGCGTCGGATCAGGTACCGGATCTTGTTGTCGCTCTAAAAAGTGGGGCACCGAACTCAGGTCCAAGCAATCCGTCCTATATTCCGACTCGTTCGGGCCTGCGTCACGGTCGGCGGAGGCCGCAGGGGGCAATCCCCAAAGTGCAGCAATTGCCCCCGAGACGTGTACAATGTGAACGCCTTCTCTTCGGGGGCAGTCGTACGCGGAGAGAACAAAGTTAGATCCGAGAATGATGGTGTTGATTTCGGAGCCAATCCGCACGAGATAAAATAAAAACGGAGGATGGACGACGAATGGGCCCAATTCGAGTAGCCACCTGCGCAGTGGAGCATCTGCGGACGATATTCGGCTCGGGCTGGATGCCTTCCGAGGCTTCGAGGGGGTTTCAGAGCAGGACGCTCCCAATCCAGAGGCGCTCGACGGGTTCAGACGCACTCGTGACAGAAAAGTCGAGCGGCATTTGGACGATCGCGCCGCTGGGGGATAAACGAACCTCGAGGATCTGCGGGAAGAATTTCGGATATGCCGGAGAGGTCCTTTGAGAGTTTCGAAGGACAACGAGCGCCGCCCACTCGTTGCAACTACCGCAAATCCACGATAGAAGCCGAGCGAGGAATCGATCGGCCGCGGTCAGCAAACGAAATGCAGCTCGCAGAATACAACCGTTCGACGGGCCCAGGATCAGAATCGAAGTACTGTAAACCCTTTTCAGACGAATTCTCCCCCTCCCGAAATCCCCGAACTTCAGAATTGTCGTCGCCGTTAAATCGTATTCTGGATGATGACAAGAGGATGCGGTGAAGCGAACCAGACGTCCACATTTCTGCTACCACGTCGGAGACATCCAGACAATAATTGACTCGACCTGGTACGCGATCTGCGGTTGATGTGATGGGTAGCCAGCCGGTCAGCCGAGCGATTCGGGCAGTCACCGGCTAGAATCGCTGGCTGGCGGGCTAGAGTGTAGGTGGAAAGCTGCAGATGATTGAAGATGACGAGCGTTTCCGTCCGGCGGGAGGAGGGTCCCAGCGAGACTCATGACCGGTTTTTACAGGTCCGGATGCGCTGGAAGTGCTGCAAGTCTTGCGGCCCCGGTCATCGCAGTTGCGGGGCCGTGAGGAGACCCTTCGCCAGCCCCGGCCGGCCGGCCCGCCCGCCCGCCATGGTTGTCCAAAGGGGAACTAGCTACCGTATCGAGGATGAGATAACACCTTCTTAACCGTTTCTAGATATTCTACCGGGAGGGCAGGGCAGGGCAGGGCAGCGACGAACGTTTCGGTATCGAAATATGGTTCGTGATCGTCACGAGACAGGAGCCAGTCAAGTTGACGACAGATCGGGGGAGAGAGAAGGAGAGAGAGAGTGAAGGCTGAGAGAGCCGTGGAACCACGGAGGCCGAGATTAAACGTGATTAGATCCGCGGGAATGTCCGAAGAATGTCTCCTGAATCGCTGAAGTTAGGGGAGGAGGGACGGGTGTGGCCACGCGCTGGTGGTTGTGGTGTGAGCCACTGGGAGATTAGAGGAAACCACCGGAGTCCAGAGGATGCGGCTCATCCAACAGCAGCGCATCCTCAGCCTTGCCTCGAGGCGAGCCTCACGGCTAGAGGAGCCAGGAGTACGTAAGCGATGGAGGATATGCTACTCCATGTAGACAGGGCCATGGGCTCAGAAGTTTCGGATAGAAATAATTCCAAACGACCGAGACCTTTGTTTAGCGAGTCCGAGAATGCTGGCACGGAACTAGATCGCTGTCCGAATCATGAAGCGATTCTGGAGCATATTCCGCAGAGCTCTGGACTTCCGACGACCAGTTTGTAGCAGCAGCAACTACGTTCGCGCGGAGTTGCGATGCCATCACATCTCTCCATCTCCATGGCCAGCCGAGCCGGGCTGATAGGACTGGAGAAGAGAAAAAATCTAGCGAGGCCATGGATGACATTAGAGCCAGGCAGCCAGCAAGCAAGCAAGTCAGTGAGTGAAGAGAGCGAGGTTCGTTGCTCCAGCATTGGCAAAGCCTCGTCTGCTCGAGAGAGAGCCATAAATGCATCGGGTATCAAAGGATGGAAGATTCCAACGTTCGAACCGTGGGCTCAGACACGGGTACACGTGTTTTGCATGCATGTGGGGATGGAGATACTCCAAATAGACTCTCAACACCAAAGTAGCGAGAAGTATGGGGCGAAAAGCGAGGATCAGCTTCGGAATCCTCACACGAATCCCGTTCCGCAGTTCAGTCGTTCAGGATACGGTCATTCCTCGAGAGATCTCCCTCTCTGACTCTGTGGTAGTTGCCATAGCTCGTATTGCAGATCCCTATCGACTGGAGGGATAATCCCTCAGCAGTACAGAGCCGAGCACTTTCCAGTTCCACGGGACCTCCACCTCACACTCTGGTCACAGATTAGCGTCATAGACAGCCAACTCCGGTCAACCGATATCCGAGCCTCCATTAAACAAAATCGAGCTGCAGGAGCAGCTGCTAAAAGGAATCATTCGGGTTGCAGAAAGGCATCACAGAGATTCTAATCGGGTCTGTGATGGTGATGCATTGCGGACTAAACGACAGTCAGGCCGATTCATGTGAACTTCGTGTGTGGGGCCGGTGGAGATACTTTAGTCCTGAGTGCCCACTTGTTTCTACCAGGTTTGCCCTGGGGGTAGTAAGTGAATATGAGAGGGAGAGAGAGATAGAGAGAGGGCCACCATCTTTCTTAGAGTTACGGCAATCACGCGAGAAAAGCATGTCATGGTCGCTGATTGCGAACTACTGGCGGGTTTAGCTTGTTCAGTGCATAATTGGTCCCGTGAGAAGCGCATATAAAAGGAGGGACGGGTCCTGCACTCACTCCGTCCACCATCCTGCAGTCAGGCAGTACTTACTCACCACTCCTGCAAGCAAATCTCCCCAACAACAACGAAGTGTGCAGCCACATTTGTGTGCCTGTTGATGTATGTGGGAGCAGTCGGTACAGTACTAGTTGCAGCAGAAGCAGCCGTCGATCAAGCCCCGGAGCTCTCGTGTGGAAGAGTCCAGAGAGGAGGAGGGAACGAGGAGATAGATAGAAAGCGAGTGTGAGAGAAAGACATATAGAGACAGGGCCACAGTCTTCAGAGTCACGCGAGTGATTCCGTACAGACCAGACAAACCTCCTTCTGTTAATTCTGTCTCGAGGAGCTTCCTCTTAACACCTGGTCCCGTCGCCACTTGTGTGCCCATCACATCGACAGTCCAAAGATTTTCTCTTCGGCAAATCAATCAGCTGAACGCGTATTCAAGCTCGCTTGAGAGAGAGAGAGAGAGAGAGAGAGAGAGATGGCCAGAGCGATGGAGAGAGCGAACCCCATCCAGAGCTCCTGCAACAAGTTCAGCCTGCACATTCAGGACAATTGCGAAGCAAGCCTACCGAACCATGTGCGCAGCATCATGGGGCAGGAGTCAGGGGGGTCGTCCCCGCGCAGTCCTAAGAAAGTGTCGTGGGTGCCTGGGACGGTCGACAATGAAGGGCTGCCCAAGAAGTCGTTCGAGAAGGAATTCTACTTCTCGCAGGACATCTGGGGCTGAATTCCGTTCTGCAGCAGCACGTTCGGATGACTGAAGCTCGACCTCGTGCTTATGCGCATACATCTCTTCGACATGTTACTGCAGCGGCATCAATAATATCGCTGCTGAATGGCTCATCTTGTGAAACTGCTTGAGCCAGTCTCTGTATATATTGTACTGAACTTTGCTCAACTCAACTCCTCGCAACTGCAGCTTTCAAGCAATCACCCTGCGCTCGACCTCGGCAGCCATTATCGACCAGCTCCAGATTTTTTTGTCGACAATCTCATGGAGAAGCACCTCGCACGAACAGAGGAATATTGTAAAATTCGTCACGCCTGCTGGTTTTTTTATTTGTGAAAAGCTTTTTGTAAATTCCAGGATGGACAAGTTCTCCTTCCTAGTTACAGGTATTCAAGAGTACAGATTGAAAGGAAGGAAGGTGCTTTCAGTGGTCTTCTATGTATGCAGCCAGGAAGAAATGGTATAGAATCGGTACTACAGTAGTGATAAGTGTAGAGTTTATTAGGCCTACTTGCAGGTTTTCGGCTTGCATTTTCATTAGATTACACGGGATTGAGATCCTATTGGAAGAATCTCATACCGCGGATGGTAGATTGCTCATGATTGCTAACCGCGCAGAAACATAGAATACAGGCTCAGCATCCGCGTTCGTATACAAAATTAGGATCTACTGAGAGACTAGCTCAGGTTAGGAGTGCCAGTGTGGTTGCAACGGAAATAAAAGTCTGACATCATTTCAATCAGCTTCCATTTCTCTGACTGCATTTTGACCTCGACCTCGATAAACTGTTCTCCTCATCTCAGAGTCCGGTGTCCCTAGCCTTGGCAAGGTTATACTCTACCATTGAGTTATTTAGATTCGCATTTGTATATGTAAAAGTCCGCATAGGTTGTGCTGATGATTGCAAAGCTATCATGCTGTGAGATGAATGTCAAACTTCCCGTTCATGTTCGAAATTTTCACATAGAAGTTTCAATTGAGGTTCCATGCCTCCTCGAAGTTTGAGGAAGGTACAGTCTCTGCTCTAACAGTTACCAAATCGGTGAAGATTTCATCGTATGGTAATGACGGGGGTCACAATTTGAGTTATGTATAAGCCGCACGGTATTTATATGCTGCTGTAACCTTGTGCATTCACGTACTCAAATCGTCATGTCACACAAGGTATTTCGAGTTCATCCACATGTAGCTGTTAGTGAAATTCCAAGCAAACCCGATAATAGCAGAGATCGTGGCAAAGGGGGCTCATATAGGGCCGCAATCTCAATCCATGTGTCTTTGTTTCAGAAGCTGAGGATCAGTCAACTTCATTCGTGGCATATCACCAGCAGTCATCCATCAGGTTTTACCCATTAGTGATGCCATATAGCGCCTTGTACAATTCACCTCCTCCGGACAAGTTTCAAATACCTGACAGGCAGAGAGCTGGCTTCAAGTCCTATAGAATAGAGAGCTCTTTACTCTCCTCGAAACCCAGAGGAGTGAAGACAATCTCGAAAACGTTAATATTCCTCTCCTGAATACGTTAGAGAAGACTTCAGCACTCACCAGCTCATCCAAATTGGTCTTCAACATGTGTGGTAGTAAGTGAAATGTTGGTTACAAGTCTCGGTCCGACGTTTGTACTGCTGAGTTTGTCTTGATTATTCTGTGGAGACGGCCGAAACAACTTCACGTCCCATGCTAAGTTCATTGTTGACTATCGTCACAGCCAAACGATTGCATTGGTCTTCTAAGGGTTGTTGGCTTACGGATGGATAGTTGGAGCAGTAGACAGTTGAACAATTTCACCTCTCCGCTCTTCTGCTTCTTCATCCTCGGCAGTAAATTGTTGACTTCTGAGTGCCACACGAGAGAGCTGTTGTGGGTCATGTGACAGCTGGAAGGTTTAAACTCTACATAAAGTGCGATTGGAGAGGAAGAACTCCTGGGAACTCTTCCAATAATTTTCAATTTTTCTGCCACTCATCTTCCTGCGCAGCTTATCCTATCCTATCTATGAAATTACTTCGGCTTCGTTGCGAAGTATACGTTCGAACGCCCTGTACGAACAATGACAGAGGCCATTTAATTTGACAGAGTCGTAGATCGCGAGCTACCCACAAGAGTAGTTGATAATTCCCACATGTTTCAATGTCCCAAAGGAGCAAATGCTCTCTAAATAGATGAAGGGCTGAAAATGTCTCTGAGTACTTAATGGATTCTTCTATCCAACTGAAACGTACTATAAGTCCAAAAAGTCCTAACCCAGACAAGGAATAAGGATATGACGTCAGTGGCGACTGCTGAATAACGACACGCTAAAAGTTACAAAACCCAATCTGCTCCTCCCATAATGAGCAAGCTCCTTACTAGGCGTTCCGAGTCTCACCTACATGGACTGAATGCAGCTGCTGCAGGTGACACCCTCTCGCATAAATGTGCAGTGAAGTTCCCGGCTTGAGGTGCTGTCGTCATTGAAAATTTGACCCCCGCCCCCACACCCGCCCTCGTCTCCATAATCGCCGTCCCTAAAGCCATCCACGTCTGCTCACAAATGGACGAAGAGAATCATACGATGCCAAATCCATTCTGTTAGCATAGAAGATTCTCGGACATAAAGTCGTAAGTCTTGAGTCATCCTGCCAGTGGGTCTTCTTAGTTCTCCCGTGCAGACGACACACTTCAGACCCAGATCTATAAGTCAGTCCTGGAGCGATACATGAATCTTACTATACATTGACACTCAAGTTATACGCAGTTGTTGAGAAGAAACAATAGGCCAAAGTGGAAATATGCTTGTCAACTTAGAACAATAGTACAGTTCATGTATCACTGAATTGGTAGTAGCTACAATTACATACTGTGTATATGGTACTGATGTAAGGCTTTCGACCATACTTGGCAGCTTTACGGAATGTGGGTCCATCAAACTTCAATATGACAAAATGTCCTTGAGAGATGCTTGTTCTTAGAATCATGCGCTCGATAGCTAATGGGTTCGAGCAATTCAAATTAAAATAGTCGGTCTATTTATTACTTGTAGAGCAAGGTGAATAATATGGAGTACTAGTACTGTTTGGAAAATTCTTTAATTTATAGGATCCCTTAGTTATGCATGGCAAGATAAGGAGATCACCGTTGCTCAAACTGTAGCCCAGTCTACAGATGCTAACTCCGAGGGGCCGGTAGATGGCTGACTTACTAGGTCATCATATCCCACTACCTTAGCTTTTAGCATGGAGTCGAATCATAGTATGCTGTCCGGCACCGACCTCAGGACAGGCGTAAAGGAATCATGCTTTGGAGTTCAGAAGCACGGAGAAGTGAAGATCGGGAAGTTTGAAGGGAAGATTGTGGAGAGAGAAGATTAGGAGGGAAAGATTAAAAGCAAAGAAGCCAGAGTTTGACTCGAGCTCTCATTATGACATCCCTCTAAGTTGCTGATGCGTCGTTTGATCACCCAGCTCGGAGCTGCATCAGAGAGGAAACCTGGCTTGTCGAAATCGACCTTTTGGATAGTCTCAGGTTTGATCGAGATGTAAATCAAATTCATTTACCGTTGACAAGTGGGGCTGACTTCAACCTCTTAAATTGGCCGTCCTGAAGGTTGTCCAGGAAGTCCCTGAAATTACGAGAATGCATCAACACAGAGGAAGACTTCCACAACAAGAAGCGAGGCTGAATGAGCAGTAATTTTCTCTATCGAAGGTTCGATCGGTTTGCACTCAAACTCATTGGAATCAATGCTGTACTGAGTGCCAGGTACTGACATCCACGGGAGATTGAGTGGACGGACCAAACAAGTACAGTACTGCAATATCTTATTGCATCAAATCTCGGCATGTTGGTAGATGAGCTGGTTGAGTAGGATGATGCTGCATGAATGACGATCATTATATGATTTGCTGTACTTGATGCATGAGGATCGACGTCACATTCCCGTCCGACATCATGCCGGCCTGGCTTCGGCTTTGAATATGAATGCACATTCAGCAACAGACTTGGAGGTGTATCGACGGTTCGTCGGAGAATCAGGTTCACAAACGTCCTCTGAATGTGTTGGAAAACTGAATTCAGCTCACTGGTCCTTCTGTAGGATGCAGTCACCTATCTACTCAGATCCATGTACCTGCATTGCTGAACTGTCGTCATGTCCGTTTGGGAGGCTACTTGTGCCTCCTTTCCAAAGAGGAGCTACATTTCCTCCTGATAAGGTTCAATAAGGTTCGATGTAGAGCTTCCTGTCCGACCGCAACTTGAAACCACTTGTCACCACTTGTCAACACTCTCAGTCTTCTCCTTCGTCGTCAATATGCTAAACCCATCGCGCTGGTTGTGATAATATTCTGTGATTATACAGGATGAGATCTTTGCCCTACCCTCGTGCTCATACAGTCAATCCCCTCGGCAATGCCCTGCGCTCGCAATTCATTGCACGTACACTGCACAGCATAGACACCCAAGGCCAGACGGTGCTGAGCAATGAACTCGATGCCATCGGACGCAAGAGAAATAAAATTTCGAACTTTTGTCGAGCTCTATGTCTTTGCCCGAAATTAGACGAATCTTATCAAGCAGAGACTGACGTCTGACTGAGCTGTCGATTGCAAAGGCCTCGGACGAGGTCAAGCCATGTATGCAATTGGATGGATGCATGGATTCCACTCTCTCCAGTCCAGTCCAGTCGATGATCTGAATAATGTAGCCAGCGTTATAGTTGGAAGATTCGTAAAGCAGGTGACTCAAACCTGGTGGCGGTGACGACGATGATAAAACTCTCTCGGGTAGGATACGAACCTCTAATGAATCTATTCTCCCCGCTTGCATATCTTTGTGCGGACAGAGCAGAACAGAGAACGAACATACTATCTCCATTTTTCACTTACAGAGAATAATCTCTGACACCATTGCTGGGGAATATCTCCTTTGTACGGAGGCTACCGGGCAGTGATCTACGGTTAGGAATCGAGAATGCAGAATGTAAACTTTGTAAGATTTGACATAGATCCCCCCACCATTTGTTCACAACGGTGGTTGACATTTGCACCATGCAGGACCGAAGATGGCCGCGAAGTACAAAGGTCAAGGGGACCGGTCACCGAAGAAGTTTCTGTCCACGGCTCGAAGGCAACCGGCAACCGGCAACGGGTGGAGGCCCGAACTCCAGGAGGAGGGGGGACAGGATTCGGGAGGACACGTGGGCCAACCGGATTGGCTGCATCGTCCAGCACGCGACGAAGCGAAGCGGGGGCATGGTTCTAAGAGTCACATCGTTGACCTTGTGACGACTCTTGGCGACCGTTCGGCTCGAAGCATTTCGGGGGCGACTGATATCGAGCGCATTGTCGAAATTCCTGAACAGATCGTTCGTAATCGGATTTCCACTATCTCCGGACGCTTCGTTCCCCGATCTCACCTCTGCTGCCGCTGCCATTGCCTTCGCCTTGCGTCGGTATGGACTGCTAGTTTGAATCGGCCACGCCTAGTCGGGAGGTGGGGCAGCGTTGAAGATCCGAGAGCCTGACTCCACCAGCGCTCCGTCGCAATTCTCGAGGAAGAGTTGCCAATCGTAAGTCAGAATTCCAGTAAGTGAATCACACCATCATCACAAGGCATGAGCAGCTGGCTCGGGCCAGTTTCTGAGTTCAATCCGAAACTCTGTGAACAGAGTGCTCTGATTACAACCCATCTGCTTTGTTGAGCGGTGAGTGTGGCCGCCCTTTAGACTTCGAAGCAGAAAACTTTTTCCCTCCAGAAAACATTTCTGTTAAATACACCAGGAAACGATTCACAGGTACACTCTGAAGTGTTTGAACCTTGGTAGAAAATATTAGACACCTCCTACTTTTCTGGATGTGACTGAAGTTTCAGTTATTATTGCTTAACGATTGGGAAGAGAACTGGCAAGACTCGAACGTTAGTGGCCGACATTTATCTTAATAACGGTGAGATTTGCAGTCAGAATACAACAGACAGAAATAGGTTCTGGGTTACGGAAGATGAGAAACTTGTCCAAAACCTGATCTGTAGACTAGCATTGTGTTCACAATTTGAAGTTTGCATAAAACTACGTAGAAACCGAAAATAAATTTGTCTACTTACACATAAAATCCGAGGGTTCTGTGTGTAATAGGGGCAGTGGGTGAAGCCAAACACCCAGATCATACATCGACTTTCGAATTTGAATCAAGGTGATGGCATAATCAAAATGAATCTCATATGGTTACCGTGTTTACATAAGCATCTAAATTTTCTTCTCTGTGAACTTCTGCTGACCAGAATCTGTTCAGGAATTGAGTTAATCTGATTTATATCAGGCTCCGAGCCGGAAACTCTCGTCATAATAATTCTCGAATAGAACCCACCAATTCGAGGTGAATGCTGTTGTGCTGCAGCACAACAGCATCTAGATTTCCGGGTCATTGCCTTGGAGATAATTTTTTGGTATGTTCGATTCATAATTTTTGTGGACTCGGAGAATGTAATCTGAGTCCGTATTAGAAACTCGGAAAGTCGCAGAACCTACGAATGGGGAACCATAATTTTGTGACTTTCATTTTCACTCTTGCAGAAATTCCGAGTCTATCCCCGACAAATCCATCGTCATGGACTGCACCGTCGAGTCGGCTTGGTCGAACCAGTCTTCGAGCCCATCAGTGCTCTCCACCAGGCTTGCTTCTCTCTTTCCTCTTTCCGATGCTATTTTGAATGCCCAAAACATAACAGTCGAAGAGAGTACAAACATGATCCTAGATGAAATCAGATCCGTGTCGAAACAAGGCGAACCCACTCCGGCGAGTCCATTCACCAAACCTCCTGAGAAGGCCCCTCTGAGTGTAAGTTCCGACTACGCTACATTGTCAAACTCGCTAGCTAATAGGCAGATTTGGGCGGGTCCAAAAGACACCGTCGTGAAGAAGCCAGTGTACAAGGAAACCAACAAAGACTACGAGTGCGAACAGCCATACAAAATTCAAGCCGTGTCCGCGTGCGTCGAGCTCAGCCCAGAGCAAGTCGGTCAAGAGAACGAATGCAAGGTCGAGGAGCCGGCATGGCTGCGAGTCCCCGTCTGCTCTGGGCGTTGTCACGGTGTGCAGCTGAAGCCCATGCGGACCGTCGTCAAACCTAACTCTCCGAGTCCGACCGTCGACCTTAATCTAGATCCTGATGAGTCCAAAGCCTGGGACCCCGAGCGCAGCCAGCATCTGAAACGAAAGCATTGTAAATGGGCTGTTGCTGCAGCAGGAGTTCAAGCTTCCGGCGGTCCACGACAAGGGCCTGTAGGCGGAAGGGGATGTAACAATAACCCCGCCCAACCCAGTAGCAAATTCTACAAATGCGACGAGCGTGCTCAAATCCCCTGCGCTCCATCGGGGGCCCAATGCTTCGCGTCTCCTTATGGTCACCTGCGCCCCGGCACCTTCCTGCCCGTGCTCTTCCCTGTCCCGGGGGACATTATCATCAGCCAGCAGTGTAGAACCGCTGAACTGAACAACCCGCTGTATAACCCCGGGGGCCATGTCCGATTCCACTTCGACCCAACGCACTTCACTCGAAGTGCGGCCATGAGGAATAGTATGATCTTGCAGGACTATTCGCAGGCGCAGGCGGTGTTTCAGAACGACGATCTGATCATTCGCGCCGGGGCGTTCGAGGCGAACTACATCTGGACACCGCAGGATAACGTCGAGTTGTTCCGTCACGTGCTCCTCATGGCTCCGTATACTTGGCTGTTTTGTGGTCGCTGTCCGTTCAAACCCCTAGGCAGCATTAGAACGTTCGGGTTGGGAGCGGAGACGATTCCTTTCATGGAAATGCATCAGTTCCCCCCCGAACGACGAATGGTGCAAGATCCGAACACTACGAGATGGATCGGGTCCGGATTCCGACCCGAGTCTACCGATTTGATTATTACTTTGTCTAGGGGCATGGCCGATGTGACCATTAGCTACTTCCACTGGCAAACTACGCATCTGTCGCAACACGATATGCTAATTCGCGCTTCGTACACGCGCGTGGAGGACACTACCCTCGGTACCGTCGATATGTTCATGTATCTAATGAACCCCGCCACACAGCAGCTCATGTGGAACTTCCAAGGTAGGGACGTTCAGCTCTTCGGAGGCAGCGTTTCGCTCGAGCATCTGATTCAGATTATGGACCTTGCGACCCCGATGGATGGTTATGGCGGGTCCAGGACTCAGCAGCTGGCGCAATGCTACAATCCACTTCAAGGAGGGCGAAATACAGGGATACATTAACGAACCATGGAGTAGGATTCAGCTGAGTCTGCATACTCTTGAACACGTTCAGAGTAGAAGTAAACACCACGTTTGTACGAAGGGCTACAGATTTCGATCAAGTTCATCTGAGTACTCCACTGCGATTAACACCGGCCTTGCTCGATCGGAATCTTAATTCGAACGAAACTTCGTAAGGTAGAGGTTTGCTACCAAAGGCAGGAAAGAACCATTCTAAAGAATGTTTCTTAGCAGATGAACACAAGACTCGCTCAAATAGAATAAATCCAGATAACAATCGCTGGTTGGAATCAAGACCACCTGTCCTTCCTAGCATAATTAGGGGGTAATTTTCTTACTGCGCTAGGGAGACTTTCGAATTATAAACAACGTAAGTCCAATCATTAAATCCCCCAATAAACTGCAAATAATAACAAGCTAACTTAGTAGACAGAGAACAAGAAAAACTAAATATTGTACTACTAGAGCTTGAATGGATCACTAAAAAAATGCGTTAAATTGCAATTGAGGTCTTTGAGAACTCTGGTCCTACGGTTACATTTTCTTCATCAACGGAAATTTGCCATAATTTAGAAATATATGCAAAGGAAAAAAAGAGCAGCAAAGTAGAATCAGGAGTTACAAAATCCTTACTTGTAGTATAGTAGTACAAAAAGACTATACATGCTTTTATTAGAAAAAACCAGGGAGCTTAAAAGAACAAGAGACGTTCTTAGGCGTGTAAATTAAACTTCGTTTCTGCTCAAGCTAATAAATGGTCACAATGGTGAATCTTTCAAGACTTTGCATTACTAGAGATACGAGGGTGATATCATCCTTCAAACGAATTTGCTCGGATAATACAAACACACACATTGAAAAGCTTAGAGTAGTTTACATTTGCTTATTTCTTTCTTAATTTGGTTATTCTTCTTCATACCGTGTCCAACTGTTTTAACACTTGAGCTGGGAGAAACATCGTCTGAGATGCCCCTTAAAAAATTTCTTTTACTTTGTGTATTTTCATCTAGTTTCATTAATCTTACTGGATTTTGCACTTCTGGATTTTTTTACTTGAAAACGAAAATTTTGATATCTTGCTAGATGAACAGATCGGATATCTCTTAAAAAAATGTCTTCACTTAGAATTTTAATTCCAAATCCAGCAAAGAATTATTTTAAAGAAATTCTTTCCATTCTTCAACGATGGATTGTCTCGTGTATGCAAGATTGCAATCATAGGATATAACAGACTCTTATTATTTAGCAACTATGTGTTTCTTGAAAATAAATTTTAGGCATGTGATAAAATTCTGAAGATGGGTTAGAGTTTTATTACAAATCTATGTACTTTTAGTAATGAGATGTTTTTGTAGTTTATCTTCAACTACTTAGATCACTACGATATGATTACGTGTCAAAAAAATTCAGTTACTGTGCCAATGAAAATTTGGTGCATGTTATGATCACATAACATTCACTCTAAGCATATAAATATGCTTGAAGTATATTTATACATTAGATATCTTTGATGCTAGCTTGAGATGAGTCGGATCATTATTGGTCTTGTTGTGAGATCTAAGAAAATCGACTTTCATCACAAGACGCATAATCTACTGTCCAATGCATGTGATGATGTAACTCTCAAGTAATTGCTTTCCGGGTCCTTTACGACAAGGAGCAAAATTGGAGGGAGATCTGGCGAAGTTTGTGAGAAGCGTTTTCTTCTCCAGACAACGTTCAAACGCTTGGAAAAAACTTGAAATAAGAGCTGTTACTTTGTGCTAATAATAATTTACTTTGAGATGAAAATATAGTGAGCTAAGAACTTTCCAAAACATCCAAGACGGCACTTCAAGCATGTTCAAAGTGCATTAAAGTGCTTAGTAACAGAACTTTCACATATATATGTGAATATTTCTGTAAATAAGAGAACATCATCATCTATAATCAGCCTAAATTGGCTACAGGCTTAATGCAAAAAGTAGTGGTTCCGAGACATGAGTCTCAATAGTAGAGGCAAATCAGAGTACTAATGTCTTAAACAGGCGAACACTTATCGTCATCCGCCATTCTTGAGGCACCTCAATGATCATATATGTGAAATTATACGACGAGAAAGTTCGGTAGAGAATGGAACATGCAGCTCCGCCGACCTAAGAGGAGATTTAGACCATAAATAAATAAATGAAGTATATTATTTCAAAGTCCATGAATGGACATACAATTCAGAGTTCAGTTAACCCGCAGACTCTGTTCTTGGTGTTGGAAGTTGTGTTAAATACTGTCCAGATCTTCGAGGCAAGGAATTATATAATAGCAGTATGTATAACAACGAAGGCCACCTTGCAGTAGAATTCGAAGACGATGTGCACTACAAAGAACAAATGGGTGCCATACCCACGAAGCTTTCAGGTCTGATCAATCCCGAAGGATCTGACGGCGAAGTAGTGAAACTCTGAAGTGAAATTTTCCCCATGATGAAGGGATTCCTCTTTCACTCCTGATATAGGCACTCCTATGTCATACTTTTGACAGTTGACTAATTCCTGTAGTAGACAGTAGTAGACAGCCTGGAGACAGCCTGGTGGGTAGGGTTGGAGGCACAGCCAAAAAGGCATGCCCCCGGGCGAGGGCATGGGGGCATGCCTCATTTGCATTTTGTATACGGGGCATACCCGTATGTATATACGTATTAATCATAATGTAATTTCGGAATAATTCGTTTATGCGTCGTTTTTTTACTTCTATTCAGGTGCGAAACTTTTCATGAACTCAATCCCAGGTGTTAAATATGGTCTGCACCAATGAAATGTCTGCGTGATCTGAAACAGCACTGTAGTGAAAACTGTCTGGTGTAGTGGTCTAGTACTTAGAATGTGATGTAGTTATATAGTGCATGTGGAGATCATCTCGAAGTATATTGTGCGAAGTTCTATAAATTATAAAGTATCGTTCAGTATATTATAACTATAATTAATTGTATATTGATTATATTTTAGTTAAAGTTACTTATTATACATATAATCACGTATTATACTTTAATTTATGTATACTTTGTAAATATTGGAAATATATGTATTGTGATACGGGCATGCCTGGGGGCACGGGGCATGCTTTCAAAAATTTGGTCGTGCCTCCAACCCTACTGGTGGGGTTCGAAGCGTGCTAAACTAATCAACTGTCAGAGCAATTAAACGCCGTAATAAAGAAGGGAAGACAAGGAGAGAACCAGTTTAAACTTGCCAGGAAATTCATGCTGTTCTCTTCACGAAAATAGCATGAATTTATTTCTTCTCCTCAGACTTCCTGCATCTTCCTAGACTGACAAGCTCCGGTCGAAGTGTACAAGAGCTGTACAGTCTAATTCTTGCTGGTTGCGAGGTTGCTTGTACATCGAGGACTGGAGTTAACTTCTGTCTAAAAGACAGGATCTCAAGGGAAACTCGAAACGAAAAAAGTTGGAGCCCAATCCTGAGCTTTCGGAGGGGCACCAAAGGGCGCGTTAACAAAAGCATAAAGTCGCGTCCTTATGACTCATGAAGGTTAATTTCCATCTGAGGCCATGTCGATAGGTTCCGTTCACACGGAATGCGAAGGACAAATTGTGAAGGTTAGGCTCTTTCGGAAACAGGAAAGCAACTCTCGTTGCAGAAGCCCAAGCTAGCTCACGATTCGACTTGGACGAACACTGGCAGATATTGCAGGGTCACGGTGCAGCATTCACCCGAAAAGTTTGTGAAGTGAGACATCATGAATTTAACGAATGAGGGACCATCCGATTTGATGTTCGTGATTAGTTTAAAAGGCTCCGCAAGCCTGAGCGAGAAGTGTTAATCGAAATGTCCACATTGCATATTTTGAACAAGCAGCAGATCCAGATATCCGAATCAACCGCTCAGAACGCGGACCACCGACACATTTCTTCCGTGGCGAAAGGTCAAGCACGAGCAGGTGACGAGTCCCAAGACAACTAACTCTCTCTCGTCACCGGATCCAGAAACTGACTCGCAACTCCAATCGGTATTTCCCGCTTGCTGAAATTCTATTTCTCAAATCCCACGGAACCAGTATCTGACGGCGAATCGAGCACAGCCAACGAACCCAGCAGCAGAAATACAGAGTGGCCTGATCATGAGCGACCTCAAGGACACGTCGCTTCCATCTGTCTCGTTGGAGACAATATCAACAACTGCACAAGTGAAACCATTGAGCGAAGATGAGGGACAAAGCCCAAAGAAGCCTTGGATCTGGCAACCGAGTTACGAGGACGAATCAGATTACCTCGACGCCTGGAATGAACCGAGTTGGAGCAAGGAAGACGCTCCGAAGCCGGACCGCGGGCTACCGAGGGCCGGCGAAGAGACGATATGGACAGACGACGGATCGGGATGGAAACTGTCGGAGGAGGAGAAAATCAATTTCTCGTATGTCAAGCCCGGCTACCCGGTGAACGGATTCCGACCCCTTCCGGGGGATATAATAATCCACCGAGGACGAGCTCCATGCACAGCCCGACGTCCGGGAGGGTTCGTTTCCATCTACAAGGGCGACGTGACGCGCCCCGCCGATCCGGCAGACGGCGCAGGCGCCGGCACCGTGACGTACGTGACGCACAGATTCTACGACGGAGAGATCGTCGTGCGCTTCGGTCAGGTGAAGAAAACCGGCCCCGACGACTGGTCGTGGGTGCCGCATCGTAAGGCGGAGGTTTTCGTTCATAGGACCGACCGGAATCCAGGCCAGTGGAATTTAGCCAGCAGGTTGACAAGTAAGCCACCGGGCCCTCCCGTGTATCGCTACGATCCACGGTGGTACGCCGTCGGGTTCCCGGCTAAGCCAAACGGCCAGCAGTTTCAGGTCCGGGAGGGAGATTTCTTCCTGCGGCTCAATACTGCGTTCAACAAACCGGGTCCGCCGGGCTACTACGTAAGCAGAGTGGAGAACTGGATCAACCGGAATTGGTACGCTGCCGCATTCTACGACCCGAAGACTGGCATGGACTGGCCGAAACTGAAGCCTCATGATATGATTTTGCGAGCCAGCCACAGTCTCGTCCAAGGGACCGTTGTTGCCATCGCTGAGCTCTTCTGGCGAGGCGAAAGCAGGGACTCCGAGGAATGGATTTTTCAGGGCAGGGACATGCACTTCTTCGGCGGTTCCGTAAATGAAGAGAATTTGGACAAGTTTACGGCTTCGGCAGCGACCTAGTTCCAGCACATTGCTCGGTAATCGACCGGTCTTTCGGCTGCCTGTGTTGCGGACATCAGTGAACAGGAAAACTAGGCCTGGAAAATTTTCGATGTTTCCGATTTCGTCGAGCCTTCAGTTCCATTTTCTTCGGACTCAGGTATACTTTTCAGAGGGTAATATGACGACAGCTGCAGCGGCAGCATACCAAGGGGTAGACGTGATGTGAACAAGTCTAGGGTCAGCTGGGAGTTATGACAGGGTGCAATTCTAGAGGCAGGGGGCTATCATCGGAATACCTGGGAATGAAAAAAAGCCCGTCAGAATGGTAGTAAAGTGGCAATTCGTGTTTTTTTGGGGCCACGATGACCTGTTTGAGATACAGTTTGCTCTTGGTGTATTAGTTGCAAGCCTACACATAGGACAAACTTTGATGTGACCAGTGACGAGGGTCTTGGTAGTTAGGTAAGTACAGTTTGTGGGCGAAAGAGAAGATGTCTAAGAATGAACGGAGGCAGGTAAAGTCTACAGAATGCAGACTTAATCACGGCTCAGACTCAGTTCTCTGTGCTTCAATGAACCGATAAGATTTAGATTATTCTGATCATCTGATACTCGAGTAAGTTTTTGAAGTTTATGGTGGATTCGAATGGACTGAAGGATGAAATCAATTTTCGTACGTTGTTACAATCTCGTGCCCAAAATGCAGGTCATTAATTCTGGACAGGCAGCTATGATTTAAGAACATTCTGTTAACAGAAAATAATGTCTTGCAGAGAATGATATAAGATAATGATAGCTCGACTCAAGATCATGATGAATGTGAATACAAATTCGTCCTCGTGCATACAGTTTCATGGAAACACTGTACATGGTCTCACTAAGAGAGACAGGGATAACAGAAACTACTTGGAGTCCACTGTTCTTTGTAAGACAAGAATTTTCCATGACTGAAAGAACTGGTAGAAGGCTACAAGACGGGTTCAAGCTCTGTGAGAAGGAAGTAGAAAAAACGTGTGTTCTTGAGACAGGATAACAGAAACGACTTGAGTCCACTGTTCTTTGCAAGACAAGAATCTTCCATGACTGAAAGAACTGGTAGAAGGCTACAAGACGGGTTCAAGCTCTGTGAGAAGAAAGTAGACAAAACGTGTGTTCTTGAGACAGGATAACAGAAACTACTTGAGTCCACTGTTCTTTGCAAGACAAGAATCTTCCATGACTGAAAGAACTGGTAGAAGGCTACAAGACGCGTTCAAGCTCTGCGAGAAGAAAGTAGAAAAAACGTGTGTTCTTCATAGTGAAACAAACTCATTGTCAGTCAAAATCTAACAAGAAGTAGTAACTCACGAGTCGTTTGGTTTATAACATTCCGTCCTTGAATATAAATATCAATGTTTAGTATAAGAAGTATTTACTTAACAAAAATTTACCTAGAGTGGTCGAAATGTTGAATGTACCGTACTTGCAACCTTTAGAGATGCACGAGAAATTTCTTAATTTGGTTGTATTTAGGAATCAGGAAAAAGAATACTTATATCATGAAAAAAAAATTATAAACATTCACAATATGATTATAAATTAATTTAATTAAGATATATTTCAAGATTTAAATGATAGAGATAAGATTCAAAAATAAATTATCTGATAATGACAAAAATTACAGTTATTGAAATTCATATACTTTAGTGAATGTAAATTGAAATAGTTCAACTTATAAATCCTAATCAGAAAAAAAATTTGCGTAAAACCTTAATGAATATTTTATCTTGTGCATTATAACATATTTAATACTCAACACATAAGGTAACTTTAATAAAACTAATTTTTACCTTCGGGCCCTCAATAGATGAACAGTTCAAACGAACTAATGCAGAGACTTCGTAAGGAACAATTCAAGGCGGAACCAAAAGATCTTCTGGATGAAATATCGTAGGTTGAAAATTGGAATGGTAGGTATCCCGAGCATTTGCCATTTGCTTCAAAAAAATAAAAAATCCGGAATAATTTGGACTGCATGATAACTGATCATGCAGTCAAATTCGGAACTCCGGTGGAATATCCCAAGACGTGGCATTAGAGGATCAAACTGAGTCTTGGTGGGATTTTCTGGTGAAAGAACGTGCGAGGGTACGCTGAGGCTAATATTCTGAAAGCTTAGAGCGTAACGGTTAACGCCTGCCTGACCAACAAACATACAAGTCGAAAGCTTAGGGGTTGCAAAAGCCAATTCAGTTTTTTGTTAAAATTTATAATATTTTCTTTCTTTCTTTCTCTTTTTTTATCTGACAGTACCCCGCGATTCGGGCCTTTTGTCTCGCTAGCAGCATTCTCATTATCTAACTCTATTTGGGCCAGCCCGCGCTCCCCACGGCCTCACCCCCACACCACGGTCTGTATGTTCTATAGGTTGAGACTCAAAAATGTCAGTTGCGCGCATTTACCAAGTCGCTACGTATATACCAGAGGCCAACATTTTACTTCAAATCTGCACCCAGACCATAACCATCAGCAGCGACCCATTCCATGCCCAGTTATTGCACTACCTGTGCCCACCCTTGCTATGCAAATTACGCCAATTCTTGGTTGGATCTTGACAAATACTGCACTTAGCATTACTTGTGCCCACCTATGGAGAAATAATGTCACCCAAAACCCATGGGCATGGGTGGGTTTAGGCATGGGCACCCCATGTTGGGCTCTGGTATATACCTCTCCGCAAGCTACGTTGATGAACCATTATAAATGATTCATCACCGTTATGAGCTTCGCTAGAAAACTATTTTTTAAGCTCGGGATTTATCCAGCTCATGATAGGGAAAGAGTTTTCTAATCAGATTTAAGCATGGATGATCAGGTTGTCTGCTGGCGCTGATTTGATATTAGGCTTAACTGAATCATCTGCATTTGAATTCTAACCCTTTATTTATTTGGCTATATAACGCACCAAATTCCGTTGTTCGTGTTGAAGCCTCTGAGCAATGACGGAAGGTCTAAATTGCGATGGTTGACTAAAAACAGTGAATGTGGACAGATCGCAGCTTGCAGAGGCGCAATCTAACGATATGTGAATGCATCATCTTCACGACAAGTCACAAATTACAATTCTGACGGAAGAAATCGTGACCAGCTTGAGTTTGCAACCAAGAAGTGTCAATCCCCCACTCAACAAAGTTGATTTATTCTAGGTCCTGTAAATATAGACAATACAATAGCAGGGTTGACAGAGATCATCCATGACAGAAAAAGGATTTCTCTGCTTCGTCATTCACGCACGCAGGGGATCTCTAGTGGATTCTGATTTTAGTTATCTTGATCGGGGTTGCATTAACAGGATTCGGCAGCATTTTGTACTCAACTTTTTCATTTGGAACAAGCACCGTCCAATCAATCTTCCGGAGAAAATGGTGCAAAAATATAAGCAGCTCGACTTTGGCAAAATCCTTTCCTGGACACATGCGATGACCTGCTCCGAACGGAAAGTGGATCCATGGTGGCATCTTTTCCTTGTCTTCGTCAAATCTGGACGGTCTGAATTTTTCTGGATCCTCGCAGAACTTGGGATCCCAACTGGAATTCGCACTTGTGATACACAGCTGCAAGAAACATACTGAAATGTGAATCCACATCATACTTTCAAGATGCCTTTTAACTACTAACAATCTCAAACACCAGATTAAGCAGAACATCACCAATTATTGTCATACTATCTTCTTATCTTTCGATGCTTTAAGCGATGGCCATTCTCTGATTGAAACCAACAGATGCGGATTGCTAATTACATCTTCTCTGTACATGAGTACATTTGTAGGGAGTAAGAATTTCAGAAACTCAAGTCACGTGTAGTCAACATACCTTCCATCCTTGGGGAATAGTGTAACCGTGGTGCTCGAAGGTTATCCTGGCTTCGCGAAATATCACCAGCATGGCCGGATAGAGCCGCATGACCTCTTGCATAACCCTCCACGTATATTTCATGCCCCACAGATCTTCTTTCGTTAAAAGCTCACCAGGTTTTTTGCTGGCAGCAATAGTTGCATGTTCTGTAAATTCGACCAACAAAAACGGAATGAATAACGAAGATTCTCGTGTATATAGACATCACCAGCTACAACATGTCGGTTTGGCTCCAGAATGCATGTGCAGAACGCACGGAAGGCGTTCCGAGCTCTAACCATCTGCAGTTCGTTATCTCTAAGAAGGTTGTGAGTATGAGATATAACCAGATCATCAGACACTCCAAAACCATCTTACATCGTACAAGTCAGTGTGATTCGACCCACCTCTGCTGGCCGTGGCCAGGCACAACACGGAATTCAGATCTACGTAAAAACGACTCCATCACAGTCTACATACAGGAGCACGAAAGCAATCGACACAATTCCCTTGTGCCTGGAGATTGTGAACCAGATTCATGTTTTCTTTTCTTCGACTTAATTACTTGCCTTGTTTGAGCTCCTCGTAGACAGCAGGATCCTCTTTGATAAGTCGGAGGGAGAGAGTGAGCATGGCTGCGGTGGTGTCGTGGCCTCCGAAGGTCAGCTGCAGCAAGCTGTCACAGAGCTCGACGTTGGTCAAGAAATGGCCTTCACTGTTAGGCGTAGAAAGCAACACCGATAGGAGATCTTGGGTGGGTGAAGCCCGTCCAGCTTTCAGATCCTGTCTCCTCTTCTCGATGTGAACGGTCAGCATCTGATCGATTAGCTTCTTCGCTCTGAGAGAGCGCCGGAATTGAAATCCTGGTAGATTCACCGGAAGGCCCATAAGACCTGCAGACATTTCGTGGAAAACTTCATTGAATTCTATAATGTCCTTCTCATTGGAAATTCCCAGTATCAGCTGCGTGATAAGTGAGAACGAAAACACGTTCAAGAGCTTGAATGCTTTCACTTCGGATCCATCTTCGAGCGCCAACCAATACTTATCGATATGTTCCACCACTTTCTTCTCCATCGTCGAGATGTACTGGTGCACGACATCAATGCCTAGAAAATTCTTCATCACAAGATTTCTGTGCACAAGGTGCTCATCGCCATATTGCGCACTTAGAGCATTCTTCCCCATTAACCGTGCAACATGCTTCGGCCACCACCCTTTCGACCACTTCACGTCGTTATAGCTCAACAGGAACTTGGTGCCAGCTGGTGCATCTAAGAAAACCATGGGTTTACCCATCAACGACACTTTGAAAACCGGCCCATACTTGCGAATTTTTTCGTCCACGTAGCTCTTGATGGTCATGTTGTAATATGCGTTCACATACCTCAAAGAATCTCCAACCATCGGCAGGCCCAGACTACCTGGAGGAACTTCTTTTGACTTCTCCCTCCGTTTCGCCCCTATGTCGAGCACTGCTACCGCAAGTTTGCGGATCCATCCTGAGCTAAGAGCAAGAGTGAAAATTGTCGCAAGCAGTACAAGCCATGGCAAGACAATTCGATAAGAACTTCCGGAACCTTCAATATCTTCTTCTGACAGAGCTCGTGACAATGTGCTGATTGAGCTTCCAAAAGCTGCAACCAGATTTTTCCTCACGCTGTCCATCGTGAAATGTCCTCTTCTGGAATCCTGTGGACGACCTCTCAAAGTATTGTGATACTGACTGACGAGCTTGTATCGATATCATTTAACTGCCTCGGACCGGAAGTCAGAAGGCGGCATGGCCTACTATGTTACTTACGACCTGGCCTTGAGGCCTGACGTCCCATAAGTTGGTCGTAAGGCCGCTAGTTTTGCTCTGATCGAATGTAAGCACTGCAGACTTTTGTAGTGTCCATGACCGAGGTATGAGGAAGGGATTGGACCTTGCCAGGCAGGAACTGTCGGATTGGGTCATGCGGTCCATTGTAGGCGGAAACGTTGCGGCTTCCGAAAGTTTAGATTGAAAGTTTAGGTTTCTGACAAGACACTTGTCTTGTCAGAATTCCAAGACAAGTGTAATTCTGCTGACTCTCTGCTCTGCAAATATCTGCTCGCGTGGAGTTGTGGGACGCCAAATTGGAGAGAAGTCAGCATCAGGCATGCACCCCTCACATAATGTGAGATGCAGAGTCGCATCGCTTGCTTCGAGCATCTGGTCTTCCAAACGAAATGGCCATATACTGGTCTCTCTGTTTTTTTTAAAAAAATTCCTTTCAGTTGTTCAAGTTCTTCACATTTTTTTCAATCAAGGAAGTTGTATATTTCCACTATCTTCAGTAACTAGAAATATTATTACTCCAGTCTAGAGCAGCGACTTTGTTACTTAAAACTTACTCAGTGTTCCAGGTTCCTACTGATATATTCAACAGTTTCATGTTTTGGTGTCAACATTTGGCTTCGACACGTTAAAAGACGAATTTGTTATTTAAATCCCTTCATCTCACTTAAAGAGCTGTCACAAGGTGTCTAACAGTGATTGTGATGAAGCTTCAAGCTCGACAATATTCATCACAACAAGAGTATTTTAATCTCTGGACAACTCAGAATAGATAAAATATTTCAAAGGATGTGGCCTCTTTGAGGCGGAACGCTATGACCGCCACCTTAAAGTACGAGTACAGAGGTAAATGGAGCCTTCCTAGCTAAAAGCATGACAACAGATTGATGACCAAATTTGCTCACATCACCTTAGCACTAAGCCAGATGTGGAGGTTCGCACTTCCTTCGTTCCCTAGATTTGGAATATTCAAAAAATTATCATCATAACTCGGATCTCACAAGTGAGAAGTATTCTCGGAAAGTTATAAATTTAAGCAATTGAATCTGAATGGGTTGAAGTTCACTCAAGGAATACCGGTCGAGACAGAGGCCTATTATTTTTGCTCTTATCACGTAATGTTTGATGTTAGGCAATAGCGATAACTCAATGACATTTCAACATCAATGCAACTTAGTGCTGGCTCATTGTAGAACATGTCATATTGTCTACAGTGAATGTTCTGTCGCATTAAGTAAATTAGTAATGATGTTTCTAGTGATGAAAGTCTCGATAAGTCTCAGAAGAAGCTGAAGCAAAAGTATAAAGTGCACAAAAAGCTGAACTAAAAGCACACGCAAGAGTTGAGGGGTCAACTACTTCACGATGAAAACCACCCGAAAGACCGGAGCTGTAGGATATGAATAGCAGATATGAACAGGATATGAAAAGCAGAATCACGGCATCCAGAAGCCAATCAATCCGTGTAGGGGAATTATAGTAGGCATTTTTGACCTATCGGTCCGAACCACCAACAGGTAAAATATTCTTTCAAGCCAGCAATATATAAATGCATAACAATACACGCTAGAAGAGTATCTTGCAAGTTATCAACATCATGTTTACAAGTATTGGACAATAGATAGAGATATATACATATATCACTCTATCGATCTGTATGTCCAGAATATTATATGTATACACACACTAGAAGAGTATGTTGCAGTAAGACTTTATAAGTTCTAGAGAATAGATTAATGGACAGTCACACAAGAAGGTTTGGAATATAATCTACAGAAATTTGAACACGAGTAGAAGGATAGATTACCCTTCTTTTGAATCAGATTATCAGGCTTGATGTAAGATGGGCAGCGACATGCCAAATTGCCAGGATTTAACACAATGTTGTTCAAAGGTGGCCCAATTGGAATGCAGCAGCAGAGTGCATGCAACGTTCATCTGGAAAAAATACAAATGGTGGCTTCCAGAAGAATAAAGACTTTTCTTGCTTGCGTTACTGATGCTTACCTTTCCAGGTTCCGACGCATCTTGCTCAGCGGAGTCTCATGCTGTGCTTGCGGCTGCCGCCAAGTCTGGGAGATGTGTGCACCATTCTTCCCTGGAGCGTGTCACGGTTGTTGATTCGGGTTTCGAAGAGATGTGACTTTGCCACAAGTCATGAGGCCCGAGACTTTTCTTGCTTACTTGCCCTTCGGCCTGCGCTGAAGTTGTGTGCTGGAAGACATATATGCTTTGAGTGAATGAATTTCACCGCCCAACTTTGGAAGTATTCACCACGTAATATGACAAATACTTACGAAATTATCTTATCGTAACGAAATATAAATGGATCAAGAATAAAGCAAAAATTATAGGAATACCCATCAACCATATAAGGAAGCGAGCGGCAAGCGTAGTTATTAAAAATAATTATGTTAGAGATGATCAATATACAAAAACTATGATAATATACTACATGATGTATTATTTTTATATATGTTTAACACTGGTTAGTACGAGATAGATTGAATTTGCATATTTAAATAAATAACACTATAGCAGAATGAAATTTCTTTGTTTAATAAATACAAACCTTAATAAAATAACTCATTAACATGTAAAAATTTCAATCCAGAGTTTTAATTGACTTTCAATGTTATAAAATTTATCTTGAATTGTATTGAATATTTTATGCACAAAATCAAACTAAGATAAAAATAAACTTATTCTCAAATAGAAATTAATATCGTGACTTGATCTTAAAAAAAATTCAAGTTTTTGAGTTTTCATGTAGAATTATAAGATCAAAATGAAGAATTCAAATATTGAAATATATCAATTCAACAAAAAAATTACTAGATAAAGAAACTTGACATTGATATACATATGATAATTAAAATAAAAATTTTATATTATTCTCACTTTCAAATGTAATTGGACACAAAGTAAAATGTTATATTGCATTGTTAAATTTTGTCATTTTCATACTTTTTTTTTGAATTCATTTTTCTATAATTTTTTTTAATTTTTTTGACAAATACATAAAGTAGTTTTTTATTCAATTTTTAAAAAAATGTAATCAATAATTAATTACATACTGAATTTATATATAACAAAAATTAAGAAGCATACACATAAAATGCAGACATATCAAAACGCCGACACAAACATACATAAGATAACCAACACAAAGTATGCAGCTTGCCATCGTGGGCTACGTTCACAAGATCTCAAAAAAGTCTGCACCGATAAAAACTCTAAAGTGCTCAGCGAGAACTTTGGCTAGCTCTTTTTATGGTGGCTAATTTCTTAATCATAACTAGGATGAAACTACTTGTGTTAAAATAGATAAGAGTTGACAATTCACACTCTTCATTTTAACTCATGTTGTGGAGACAATATTTTTCATATGGGTTATTATTACTAATTTCTAAAAATATACCTAATACAAGCTCTTTTTAAACTAGAACTAAGTCATGAACAAACAGATTAGAGTAATAATATTTAGAGGTAGCATTATTGCTTGTAAAGTATACTTGTGCTCCTCATGCAAAATATACAAATTAGCACAATGTCTATTAAAACTCTTCCAAAAAAAAATATTGTTAACGCATTGATATTGATTGAATTTATTGTCTATCTTGACAAGATCAATATTTTTTTGAGAAATTTTAGCTTTCATAAAATGATATATGATGTCAATGTATTTCACTCTTTTTGTTTATCACTTGATTTTTTGCAAGATGTATCGCACTCTAACTATCACAATGAGGATCAACTATCTCCTTTTACAATAATATCCTATCTAAGTTTATTTAACTGCATATATTTTTAATATTTTTTTTGCTTCTGATGTCGCTACATATTCAGTTTCCATTATGGATTAAGGTACATACTTTAGAAAAATAGATGTAAAACTAATGCATTCATTACTATGTGTAGACACATATCCAATTGTAGATTTGGTCTTTTTCTAAATGTTGTTCATAATCAACTTCAACATAGCATAGCAAGAATTTGACATTGTCAAATAAGTCATCAGATAAAATATCATAATACTTAGTACTTTTCAGGTGTCTTAAAATTTATCTCATTGCTTTTCAATAAAACTTCTTGGATAGGTTATATTTGCTCAGTTTGCTCATAGCTGAAGCAATAGTAGATCTTATACATATCATCAAATTCATGAGACTGCTCACAGCTTATCAATAAAAACTTCACGACATCCTTGTCTTCTCAATAACATCTATTGAACGTTTAGCTACAAAAAGTTTGAAGTGTGTTATCAAAGGAGTCAATGTTTTTTTAGAGTCTAACATGTTAATATTGAAAAGCAACCATTGAATATACTTCTCTTCACTCAAGCGTTTTTTTTCTAAATCCAAGTCTCTATGAATTTTTTTATCTAATGTTCTCTTGGACTAACTCAACTACTTCTTGTTAAATACAATATTCATCTAGTTTTGCATTTTTCTACACCTTATTGATTCTTTGCCAAAATGAGGATGTCATCCATGTAGAGTTTTACAATAATGTGATTAAAGATTTCATTATTCAAGTTTGTATGTAAGTACATGTATCATACACATTCCGTGTAAATTATTGTGTTTATATAAACTCATCAAACCTAATATCCATTACGTAATATCTTCCTTCAATCCAAATAATGAATTTATCAATCTACATATCAATTTGACTTGAACGTTTTTCTCAAAGACATATATGTGGTTGTTTCATGTAAATTTTTAACAAAAAAAATCCATAAAAATATGTTGTAATCAAATTCATGTGATTCATAATCAGAAAAATTATTGCAGCATGTGCACATACAAATCAAATTATAACATACTTTTCTCTAATCATAAAATCTCATTGTCTTTCACACTTTTTTCTTATTTGAAACCTCTGGCCACCAACCTAGTTTTGAAGATTTTTTCATAAGCTTATACAACCACTTGCTATTTATTAAAATTTGAATTTTTAGAAGCTCCACCAACTCTCATGTCTTGTTATACATTAGCAATTGCATCTCATGCTCCATGGT